GGTGACATCGTGCCGTCGCATCCACGGTATTCCCATCACGATCGGATAATGTCCCAACTTTGTAACGAAACATGAGGCAATTTCTCGGTGACCATGAATATCTAGTGAAACATCGACAATGTGGGTAATTTCTCCTGACTGGATAGGTCTTCCATCCATAACATCTACCTGGCGAGATTTCCTAAGGGGGGTCATTGCAAGATTGTTGTGACGTACAAAGGATTCATCGATAAAAGCATATCCTGATGCTCCAGTATCAATGAGAGCGTAGGTGGGAATGAAAGAGTCGGGATTCTGAGAGACCGAACAGGTAACAACAAGAGAGTCTTCGGACATCTTATCCTCAGACACAGCAGCAGCAGCAGGGAGAACAGGAACAGGTGGCGGGGCTGGCCCCTTTGGTTTGCCATTTTTTACCAAAGGGGCTGACCTTTTAACGCCGGCTTTGGGGATCCATTTTCAAGTGACCTTTCTCGCCAATTGCTAATGGAACGGGGATCTTGGGCGCGAGGAGCCAGGTAACGAGGCTTGGAGACATGGCGAGATTTAACTGTAGCGGTAGAAACGGGGATACGAGAACGAAGATCAGCAATGGTGGCATTGGCTTGGGCCTCCCAGGCTTTTGCAACAGAAGTGATGTGAAGAATCTCATCTTCAACATCAGCGAGGTTCTCGTCGGCAATGGCGAGACTTTCCTGGTGTAGTGCCAGACGGAACCGAAGCTCTTCTTCTTCAGCCTTCGATTCCTCCAGCTCGATCTTCAAAGCAACAATAACCTCGTCGCGACCTCGGATGATCTCGGTAGAATCTTCCTGGTTATCGCACAAGGTTTGCCAAAAATCCAGAGCCTTTTCGTTGGCTGCTTCTAGTTCTGTGGTGAGGCCGGCAATGACCTCTTCCTGAGCTGTGTCGATAACGGGTTCTAGTGGTGCGGGGGTGTCAAGAGGCTTGGTGAGAGCCTCCAAACACTCAGCAATAAGGCCATGAGCCTCCGTAAGTTCTTCGCCGAAGTCTATATCGGCTGGGAGGGGACCATAGGTGGTCAGAAATTCTGAAAGACGCTGTAACAGCGTATCCTGAGTGGTGTCGGACATAGTCGCGACTAGAACTAAGCAAGGTGGTGTTGTATCGGTTGGCTGTAGAAGGATGCAACCTAAGTATAACGGGGACTATGGGCGTAGGAACTATGAAGCCAAGGAATACAACCGAGGCGAAGACGTGGACGTAGGAGGTTCGTGGACTATGGACTATGGAGCCGAAGGGTACACCTAAGGCAAGAACGGGAACTGTGGACTATGGACTATGGATGGTTGTACCTGGTCTAGTATACCGGGTAAACCCTATGACGTAGCGCGAACCAAATAGTATTCGTGACTGTAAAGTACAGAGGTTGCATAAAGAGAAAAGGAAAAGAAAGAGAAACAAGAAATCACGAGACAACGCCCCCCTTATATATCCATACCCTATCCCAATGCTGACTCATACTCTTCGCGTAACAGAAACAGAAAGAACATAATAGAAACCCACTTCGCTAAATCCAACCACACTGCATAACCCTTCCTCTTGGTACCCTAACACCTCGCATGACCAAACCACATGGCTGCCGTTACACTATGACTAGTTGCATTATCAAAGAGGAATAATGCACAGCAACCGGGATGCGCTGCTTCGAAAATAGTTATAGCTGTTAATGTCTGCTGCACTATTTTTTCCTGATCCCACCATATAGCTCCTCCACATTGAATAATTTCGGTTGCCTCTCTCTTATGCAAGCCATATTTGATAAGGTCCCCATCTGACATATTTTTCTCATCTACCCTTAATCTCCCCCATGGAGTAACAAATTCTGAAATATGTATACCCTGTCCCCTAGATTTGCTTCTCAATGGTATATGATCGCCTCTTACCCATTGATAATGAGGGCCATCGTTGGCATTGCATGTACACTCATCATGAGTGACTGGAATAATGAGTTTATGCCCTTCAGGAATAATTGGTATATGCACCTCCACATCTCCATTTTCATGTCTGACAGGATAAGGCATTACCGATGACAGCTCTTCATATGTTTTAAGGAATACCTCCTGCCTATAATTCACCACATCCGGTCTCTCATGTCCATCCTTATAGATATCCTTTTTGACCTCTCCCCAACGATATCCAAGTCGATGAAGCCAATCTTTTGCAGTGGTAGACGAGATACTGAGCTTCTTTCGAAAGAGAGTAGGAGTAGTACTGTACTGTTCAATCTCCTTTAAGGAACTAGATAGCAGAGCCAATTCCGAGTCTTTTTTGATATCAATTTGTGTAGATTTCCAATATTCAGAAACCGCTTTGACAAGCATGTCAGCCCTTAAATCTATTGTCAATAATTAGCATGCGTAAATGAATATAATGATAGTATTTTTACCTGATCCTGCAGTAGCTAAAAACTCCTGCACTGCAATTATAGTCCCCTCATCTTCTAACATGCATAACATTTTCGAGTTTTTTCCCTGACCACTAATTGGCATTTTCCGATGCCTCACCCACTCTTTCTCCAGTCTCAATATTCTCTCCTGTACCTTCCGACCCTTTTGATAGCATATTGCTACATTCATAACACACTCCTTCCTTGTATATTTTTTTTTTAAATTTTTATTATGGTTATCTTTTTTGAGTGTAGTGAGCTGCCAGTTCATGAAAAACAAAACCTGTTGATGCCAAATATAGTCCTGCCCGTTAGGGTGATGCTTAGAGTTAAGTACTCTAAGTATATCCCGAATAGCTATAAGAAATTGAAGTAATATATATCAGTATCTCAAAAACTCTCACAAAAATCACTGATGTTTGAAATATTTGAATTACCTTGATTTAATATCATACACTTAACTGGTACCGATTGGACATTAGGCCAGTTGAATACCGCACTCTCAAGCTCCGCTTTGCCATATTCTCCAATATATAAGGCCTCAACATCATCCTCAATATCCTCAAAATCTCCCTCAGGCTCTTCAGGTTCCTCTGGATTTAATTTGATATTAAGGTGTTGATATTCCCCCCCCTCTCTTGTTACATCTACCCCTGGTATTTCCGCCGGAGTATTTGAACCTAATTCACTGCCAGCTACTGCTCTTGTACTCCTATTACCAGTAGAGGGCCTAGTTGCATTGCTTAGGGAATATAATAATGGAGAAAATGGTCTTGTATTTCTGTCCATGACAAGTTTCTGGAAAGCGTTGGCAAATAAGGTTTTTTGTGCGTTGGCAGCATGTTTTTTTAGGCGCCAAAGGGTAGTTTTGGGTCTCCATGGAGTTTTGATAGGAGTATCTGGAATGACTGTCTTTTTCCTGCCTCTACCTCCCTTCTTAGCTTTTTCCTGGCGGGATTTTTGTGCTTTAGAAATGCGGCCCATCCTTGAAGGTGATATCTGTTGACTTTAAAAAAGTAGTATGAACTAGTAGGAGGTTGTGAGGTGGGGTTATGGCTAAAAAGTAATTCACCCGGGAAATGTGTACATCTGAGCATGGATGTGTATATCTGAGCACGTTCCAAATCCCGATTTCAACACGGAAATATAGGTATTTATTCCACAATAACTATGAACATTATGGACAGATAAAAACTTGGGAACTCTTATTATACTACAAATAGGCTCTCCAAGTTTTCTCAGCTTAATTCATTACCTCAAAGTTCTGGAATAACCAACCCGGATTGTGGTACACCTTACAGGCCGACCGCACCATACAACCTGCTGGCCATGACGTAGTTCTTTCCTTTTTCTTTTCTTCCAGTAAATATTGCAACGGTAAAAATGAAGATCTTATATAAGTCTTGCGTTAGGTTACGCTGTTAGTACTCTACTCCTATGGTGGGTGACACGATATCGGGGCCGGTAAGAGTATATGAACGCCAAATCTATCTCCTCAACAACAACACAATATATTTTTGATTAGAAGCCGTAGAATGATAGAGAATCAAGAGCAGAATCATTCTACAGCCTTTGATTTTAATTATCTTGTGTTGTGGTTGAGGAGATAGAGTTTGAAGTTGGGTGATTTTGGTAGGGAGGCAGGTCAATTTTTTACCCATACAAATTATTAAGGCCGGATCGAAATCCAGTAAAATACCCCTGTCAATCACCATAAAGCACTCGGTTGATTACCAAAAACGGCTATGATCTGCCATCTGTGAGCTCAAAAACACTTGTTTCACTACTAAATAGGTGATGATTTACCTGATGGAGATTTTTACATGTGCCAAGACCGACCCCGATATCGTGTCGCCCACCATACCCCAACCCGCCGTTGTGGCACGCTATTTGCGAATGCTTAGTAATAGATAAATACGTCTAAGCGGTGGCCGAAGTGGGCGAGCAAGTAGGAACGTAGCTTTTCGGAGGGCGATAGATAGGTGTCCAGATGCGGCTATCTCTAGCTTAGTTTTCGTCTTGTTCTTCTCTCATCATCATCACCACCACCGTTTTGTTGTCTCAGATAATCATTTCGCAGAGAAGGATAGATAGACAACACCATACCTGGAGAATAGTTAGGTCTTGGCACCCACATACTATCTAATCTTATCTTGATCTTTTTATAGGCTAGGCTTTGAATCTTTCTTGGAGAGAAATTTCAGGCCAGGGCGGAAAGGAAAACTGTTTGATATAAAAAAACATGTCGCCTTTGGTGCGAGTGTCTTACCTAAAAGCCACCAGTGGAAGTATTTGTTTATAGTTTTGCTCTCTACCGGCGATGGCTGCACAATACTACCAGATGGCTAATTCTTAAATATGGCGCAGAAGACTACTATATGTTACGCCCGAGTAAAGGGTTTATATTTATTCACAAAACTCACGACGAGGGAAGAACAAGGAAAGAATAGCCGTCAGTTAGAAGGTAAACATTCTATTTACTCGCAAAGCTTGGAGTAAAATGCATGTGTTGTTGAAGTTATAGCTGACCAGCAGAGACGAAGATCGTCGTCTCAAAACTTCATACAAATACACATAGTTGCTTACACGATCAAATGGCAGCTCTGCCTAGAATTCCAAGACTCCCGATCTCCTCACGGAGAGATCCCTCCATACGCTCAACCAGTTCCTTCATCTCCCCCTCTAACCTCCGCTTAACCTTCTCCTCAATATTATCGAGCCTCTTTCTCTCCATCGCGATCTTCTCCATGGTATCTTGAAGCTTATGGGTGATTTTGGTGAAGCGATTGGTGATGTCGTCGGTGCAAGCGGTTACAAAAGCCAAGCTAATCTCCTTGACCCTCTCAGCACGATACTGATCTCCGAGGTACTTCATTGTGTACGCAGCAGACGCGGTAAGCTCAGTGAGTCTGGTGCCGTCTAGTATAAGGCGCTTAACAGAGGCTTCGTACAGCTCGTCAAGATCTTCAAAGATCACGGTGACGGATCTCAAATCTCGAGTCCCCAGGGAGATCTCGCCGTTGGAACAGGCCTTGTGAAACATGGCGGTCCAGATATTAAGGGTGACGGCTTGAGCGTGGGTCAAGTCATTGGAAACAAGAAAATCCGGGTAGTATTTTTGCGCATATTCGAAAAAGGCTATTTCGAGATTTCGTTGTAGACATCGGAGGATTGGATGTTGTATGTTCGCAGGGATTGAAATGGGCGGGAGGGCTCCGAGATCCGGAATAGTTATGGACTTAGCGTCAATTTCCCTCAAGCGAGAAGTGTATTCCGAACAGGAAGTTGCAATTGTGGCACAACACGAGGCAGACGTATCATCAATGGTTTTGGGGGCGTCTGTAAAATCGCAACGGGATTTACTGTGTACGCTGCGGAATATGTTGCGATAACCGGTGGTGTCTTTTTCTTGAGTGATTACCCTGGTATTATCGAATATAGGGGAATGTTTTGCTTTTTTCTTCATGCAAAAGCTGCTTTGCTCGATGTGTGTACCCTGAGTGGCCCTTGTAGAAGAATTGGATTCATCAGACCTATTGATTCTTTCGTTAGTATGGATAACTAACTATAGACTAACAAATATATCGATATTTCAAACAGAAGTTACTCACGTCCCGACCGATTTCTGGTCAAACATCCCGCCCTGCTGGTTCTGGTTTTGCCTCAACTTGCCTTCGGCCTCAAGCTCCTCAATATATCCCTGCGATATCATCCTCACCAGAGTCTTAGTGATAATTTGATTATTACGATACCCGCCAGCAGGAGGTTTTATCTTGGTGCGCAGGTCAGGTAAGCGATCAACCAGCCTATTGTACAGCCTAATCTCACCAATAAAGGCTCCTTTGACAAACCCATTATGGGATTTATCCCAAAAGGCCACTTCTTTTGCGGTTCTTTTGATCCACATCACAACCGCCGGTTCATCAGGAGGTACCGGCAGTGCTGCCGATAAGTCTGTCCCCGAGAGTACACCTTCCATTCTTCTGGACTGTTCCCGCATCAGTTCGGCAATCAATCCTTCGTGCTCGATGAGATGCAGAAGCTCTTCACGGACATCTGACGCATCGTGGCCGATATGTATCATCTTAGCTGTCAAACTGCTGCACAGCATATTGTGCAGTCGGATTTGACCCATAAATCTACCGTTCCCACGCAAGAAAGCATGGTGGTAAGCCTTTTCGCGGATCCATTGCCTGAGATCTTCTTTTATCTGGCGAGATAAATCGTAGAAGTGTTTTAAATTGGGATTGGTAGAAGGAGTAGTGGGGGGTGCAGGCCTAAAGATGGGCCCAGTAGAAAGAGTCCTGGGAGGTGCAGGCCTAAAGATAGGCCCAGTAGAAAGAGTCCTGGGAGGTGCAGGCCTAAAGATAGGCTCAGTAGAAGGAGTCTTGGGAGGTGCAGGCCTAAAGATGGGCTCAGTGTGACTGGATGTCCTCGGTGGACATTCATCGGGGAAGTAGCATCTCGACATAATCGGAACAAAGAAAGACTCTCGCCGCTGAAATCGACGGACAAAAAGGTATAGAGATGGAAATACGCTGATGTCGTTTATGATTCTAATGATGTTGCTATATGCAACAGCAGTGGTCGTCTCGGGTGATGTGAAGTCAACAGCGGGACGGGACGGCGCTAGTAGCGCGGGTTACATTTATGTATCAATCCCGCCCTACTTTCTGGTTCTGGTGCCCTGTGGCTGACGTACTGCTCTAAACTACATGTAGGGCTTTGATTTCGGATTGTATAACGGTAGAGCTAAAATTCTAATGCACTGGTATGATTCTTCGTCTTAGATTCAAATATACATGAAGGGACCATGGCTACATGTATTATCATCATCTCTCCAGATAGCGTCTGACTACATCTTGTGCATGCTACTAATCTGAGAGAAGCGGATAGGGCTTATTAGAATGTAACCGATATTTGAACTTTGGGCTTCGATTTTTACCTCCGGAGCAATATCTGCTACAACAATATACTAGATTCATCAACTAGATTTCTTGAAACCTGCTTACCAAACAGGCTCTCACACATATATCCTGCAACAAGGGGAAGCAGGGTGCATAAACGGTGATGTATTGTCTTTATGGCAGATCTGGTTATAACACTCCTTTTATGATGCTCAGCTGGTCGAGCAAGTCAATTACGGGATTCGTTGGGATCGAGGCGTTTAAATTATCCGCTGACGACAGGAAAGATGAGGTACATGTAGTATTAACAAGATAGAAGAAATCCTTCCATAGAAAGGTTGTGTGTATAATACTAGGCTAGAAAGTATTTAAGCAATCTCGTCAATTTCTGTTTTATTCTCACTTTCATTTTCATTTTCATTTTCATGTTATTCTGGTACGTCAGATATTGTCATAGCTTACGGGCTGCACACAATTAATCAATCAATCAATGAATCAACACTGTCACAATAAAGATATGGCGGTTCTATTTGCGGACTAGGACAGGGACCAGATGATATGGGTACAGGATATCAAAGAGGAAGTGGGCACCATCAAAATCCGAAGGGACGTTTTTCCAGATCTGAACGGCGACATTTGGTACAAGAGGCCCCTTTACGGCCAGAGAAAAGAAGACGGGAGGAGAGACATAGCGAAAATTGTTTAGTTTTTGCTTTTGTTTTTGTTTTATTTATTTTATTTTCCTTTATGTTTGATAGGGTTCGTCTCGTCATAACCCCCCGCGGGTTACATACGAGTAATGAAGTAATCAAGCAAGCAAGCAAGCAAGCAAGGAATCCCGTGAACCTTAGGGCTAGAGGAAAAATTGCCGTTCACAGAGTCTGACTCGAGACTAGGGTTAGGGGTATATAATAATATCTCGATAAGCCTTTAATTACACCTGACAATAACATCTCTAGGGTAGCGGGTTCAAATTTCAGGGAGAAGCTAGCTCCGATAGACCCATCAACAGGAGCCAAGGTTTAGAACCCGCGTACATACATGTAATGCAAGTACAGGTACCTCTGTGCGTCAAAACCTAACGGTTTCCTAAAGTTACAAGATCAATCTTGATACAATCATCAGCAGCATCGTTTATCCTTCATTCATTTTGGACCTGCATTCTAAGACTACGCATACCTCTACATCTAGTCCCCACGCTGTTGAACCTTCACAATGAAATCCCTACTCCCCTTTGCTGGAAATCCCGAGAAGTAGTCCATCCCCTGCTTCACATCCTCCCAAGAAGTGTTATGCAGATCCATCTGATACCTCCGAAAGATGCTCCCCAGGACCAGATACAACTCACAGTATGCAAGACTATCCTCTATCAGTCATCTACCGATCACTCCCGCTTATTATAGATCACTTACCTCATTCCAACACACATTCTTTGGCCTCTTCCAAATGGTACCAAATACTTCTCGAGATTCTTGCTGTCGGGGTATAGCCATCTTTCGGGGTCAAACTTCTCGGGGTTGGTAAATATTGTGGGGTTGTAGTGCAGATAGAATGCCGAAGTTGAGATGACACTCTGAAGCAATGGCCGTCAGCAATGTGTGTATTCATGGTAAAATAGGCCCATACCTCATGAGGTAGAGTATATTCCTTATATGTGATCCCACCCTTCGGCGTCACTCTGGGGGTATATCCAAAGGCACCAGGAGCGAGTCGTAGTCCCTCCTTCACTACCGCAATCTAGTCAAGCTGTGAGTATATCTCCTCATTCTCGTCCAAAGTTAAACTCTAATCACTAACAAGATAAGGGAGTTTCTCCAACTTCGCGAGGCATAATTCGTTAGGATCCGGGAATGCCTCATGAAGCTCCATATATAGTTTCTCTTCTACATCGGGGTTCGAGACTACGCCGAAGGCAGTCATGATAAGTGTGTACGATACTGTCTTGTGGTATTTTAGCCACCGGATGTATTTGGCGATGAAGGGAATGCTTTGATACCTCTGCGCCGGCGGCAAAACATACAACACCGTTCTGGATGATATCGTCGTCCGACAGCCGATCCCTTTTCAAATTCTCTGGGCTCAACAAGTGGTGAAAGATGCTTGTGCCTGTCTCTCCGGACACCTTGATGCTATCAAAGGAGCCCCTCGACATCTAGAGTTCATACGATTGTCAGTCCCACTCACTCGGCGCTTATCGATACGTCACCTACCATCGTCAAATCCTTCAAACTTTGAATAGCTGGCAACACCCACTTCTCCAACCACTTTGGAAGCACCGACAGCACCGTTGGCAACCATGGGAAATACTTCACCACCCAAAACCCCTTCAGCCTTCGTTGTCCATCCTCCGAAAACCTCTTTCCCAGGTCCTCCATATCCAGCATGCCCAACGGAAAATTAAACGAAAAGGTCGTCGACATATCCACCGATGTTGCTCTCAGTCCATTCTGGATGTCAAACAACCGTTCCGGCTGCTTAGCTATGGCTGCATCAATCCTGCCCAAGAATTTCTTGATGGTATTCAGAAGAACTGGCTCGATTGCCAAAATGCTGCGTCGCGAGAAATAATCCTTGATAGGTGCACGGCGCTTCGCATGCAGCTCGTTGGTACGCGTGTTGAAGATCGAATCGCCGAAGCCAAAGGCTTCATACGTCACAGGGTCCTTCTCGAATTGCGATCCGGGATAGTGAACTTTGTTATAGAAATCAGGATCGCTAATGGAAACCTCGTTTGGTGCGATGCGAACGATTGGTCCGTACTTCTTGTGAAGATTCTCGGCATGAAAGATGAATCTGCCGTCTTGAGCAAAGAGGTTGTACCAAGCTTCATAGAACAGCGTTAATGCGGCCAGTTTAGGCCCGGGGACGCGCGACAGCGGGTGCAGGTAGAGTCGGTATATGCATGTGGCGGCGATATAGATCGCACATGCTGTGAAGATAGCGGGTATCGGCGGGAGTGCGAGTAAGGTGCTGAGGAATGTCATCTTGACGATGTCACAGGGTGTGTGATGTTGTGAAAGAATGGGACGGAATGCTATTAAGTATTCTCCTCTTCACACGAATCTTGAGGATCTAACGCATGCAGATGGCTTATCACACACATTATCACAAGTGCTACATTCACACAAGGCTGATAAATCCCGCAATTCAGACACTCTATGCCGGCGCTTAATTACTTGGAGTCTTGGTAATATATCGTCATAGCACCAGTACCAGGTAGGTGGAGCAGAAGAATATGCAGTTCAGCAAACCTGGTCCGGTATCCTGGATTATCCGGGGTGTCTCGTTCGCCAATCTAGACATCTTAAACGAATTTACATAAGTGCATATATCTAGCTGCAGCCGATCTCCGTTGAACGGCCAACTAATTGGGGCAGGCTTGATATCAGTGAAATAATTGGATTACTTCGTCCCATCACATGGAAAGGCATGAAAGACACATTCACAGTACTATTAGTAAATACCCAAACCTCGATGTCGAATCAACCAGCGACTTCGAAAATGAATTATCCTTCTCTTTGATACGTCATCAAGGCGACAGTACCCTCATCAATATCTTATCTATTGTCAGGCATCGAATTACATACCAGAATACGAAGCGTACCCAACATCAGCATTACCTTAACCGGACTTATGCTTTTTGATATCAACTGTCAAGAGAGCGCTTAGTACTAAATGCCTCAAGATTCTTCAAGTTCTGAATATTTCGGAGGTTCCAACTATCAGAGTCACCAGCAGAACCATGGGGTCTGGCAGTGTCACGCTGCGCCTGATTGCCTTAACTAATCCATTCAGCTTACTAACAGTCCGGATCCTATATTTCCACATGTGAATATCGTATGTATCACAGGATCTATGGCTTAAGGTTGAAGGCTCAAAAGCGTTAGTGAGATAAGACCACCTTCGTAATCAATCAGTAGCGTGGGCCGTGTCATGGCCATGTGGGAAACTAATTGCAAGTAATAAATCTCTAGTACTAGTCCCTTAACCACGCATTCGGAGGATAAGGGAGTTGAAATGTATCAAGTGGTCAATTTCCTATCTCTAAGCTAAGTAACTGTACTCTGATAACAAGGGTTTCTTAAGTACTTACTGGAGGGCTGCTTTCAGTATAATAACTTAAAGAGGTAGCACGGATACTGATCGATACTTCCTGAGCATATTCGAGCCCATTCAGCTCGATGCCAGTCAGTCGAATTTTTTCCAGTCAGCCACAAATTGCAAATTCATACGTTGTCTGCGCACACTCTGAGCATCTTTATCTGATGACCAGATATATATATATCCGATCACGGCGACGTCTCACCGGGAAGCCGCTCAATATTGATAAGGCTGATAACTGTTCAATTTGCGGTCCTTACTGGATCGTTTCTAGAAATATTATAGCATACCTCTTAATGAGAGATTGGTGCATCACCGATCACATTGGAACAGGGTGATGTGATTGGAGGCATAGCGAAGTGTAGCGTAGGGTGAGTTTTATAGGAACTCCAGAGAGTGGAGGGATCACATCCGAGGAGGAATAGTCAACCAAACGGATAGCAACCTCACAATCCGACAATGGACCTTAGGATACTATCGGGGATCCAAAGTGTTAAGCTAGTCAAGTATCTTCTTTCCTTAGAGAGTTCCCTTACCTAGAGCGGCTTTAATTCAGGTAAATTAACCTTTTTAGTCCGGCGTTGAACATCTGATTCACAATCTTAGTCGATCTTCTATTGGAATAAGACGTGATAGAATCCCCAAGGAAGCCGGAAACTAATTCTTACAATGAGCCAGTTTCTCAAAGATACCAAATAAACCACGATAGTAATCATTTAATTACGTCGAAAGCCACCAGAAATGCGCAAGTACCCGCCATAAGCAGCAATCTCTCAGTATGAGGGTAGGAGCGGGAATATGTGAAGGCACATGTGGAGGATATGGGGTGTTGAGAATGAAGCTTTAGCGGAGTGAACACATGAACTCAATGTCATGTAATTCTTTATCTAGGGTTGGTTGAAACTGGTACCTCAAGAAGGTTCATAGCGAGTTCACCGATTGGTTTATAAGAAGTAACCCTAACCCACGTCAGTATATCATTTCAACGTCTTCCTATCCCATCATCGAAGAATCAAGCAAAACTTCAGCAAGCCTTACCAAGAAAGTGCACTTTGACCTTCACTACATAATGAGTCCTTATTCTCGCGAACAGATCATTGGTATGAATACTTACCCGCTCAAACCTTCGTAATTCATATATTCAGCTCTCTAACAGAAACTGGGTCCCGAATAGAGAACTGCAAATTCCTGTTCAATCAGGATGTCCGCCTCATCACCTTCTACAAGGACCTATCACGCCCCTCCACCTCTTCCTCATGTGTGCTCACGTGTATGCCCTTCAGAGTGCGGGCCTATGCCATCATCATACCTGCCACCGACAAATGCTCTATCCACCAGCTATCCACCAAGAACATTCTTATAAGTGGTTGCATGAACCACAACACAAACATCACACACCCAACTTTGTATCCGGTACCCGCCAACATCATACAACAAGCAATCGACAACCTGGGACAACGCGTCACCGAGCAACTAGGTCATTTGTTGACTAGCCCAGACCCAGAGCAGGCGGAGGACTTTGAATTTATGCCGATCAAGTTACCGGTGCCTGAATTGTTAGTGAAGGAAGAACCGTGGCTACGGGGATGAGGTTTTCGATGCAGTGGTATGTGTACTCTGTAAACTACTGCTATCAATAAGGGCGTTGTATTTCTTTTTTTTTCTATTTTTCATTTCACGGGAGAAGTACATGTAGTTTATTAAGAGCTTGAATACTTTGAATCTTGTTTTATATATGTTGTGGTATGTAACTTCCGAATAATTATAAGTCTATCTCCGTATCAGGGTATTCTGCCCCGAGCTGCCTCCTACCGCTCGCCGAGCAGTCAATCAATCAGACACTCATGATCATATACGGATTCCTTTTTATTTCTAATGTATCGCGTGCATGCTGAGGAATTTCGTTTATCCTGCGCTGGTGACCATACGTAGTATCTATTAATAAATTTACAGAATGATACCTGTTCATGCAACAACCCTCGCCGCATCTGTCATCAGTTAAGAAGAAGGGGGGTGATCTATCATGGGTGTAACGTTATTCAACGCATAGATACATAGATTTTATATATAAATGCTCGCTTTAAATCACTCTAGCGAATTGGAAATGATGGTACTTCGATGAGCTAACCTCCGGATGCGTGCGATTTAGCTAACCCTTGAATCTTTTATCTTGTATCTTGCGAATGCATCAACCCTCTATTCTATCATATCTTACTTATAGTGGGTCTTAAGATCCCTCCATGTTGTATTCCTTGCCTGTAGAAACTCAATCGCATACTGGTAGTGACAATAAGTGTAACGAACGTTTTTCTATGGCCTGATTTATACGGGCTGCCGGTAGCTGCATATCTTTAAGAACTTTTCTTACACAAGACTGTTCCTCATATTGACGGGAAGCCTCAAGCTAATTCTTTCCTAGTCTCGAGGGGCCCTCATGAAGTCATGACACACCGTTGACGGGCGGATAGGCGCAGGTCGACACGGTTTATCCATCTCCGTTACTAGAAGTACATCCAGCTTCAGTCTTCTCTTATATGAGGAACGGATAAAGTGAGGTTCATCATGATCAGATTATACTGTAATTATAATTACCAAGAACTCTAGTAATTATTTCGTCTCCTCACACTAACTCTTATTTTGATGACATGAGCAGTACAATTAGTTCGAAGTCATCATGGGCCAGTCCGGATTCGTCCCTCGAACCTTTTAAATCATTGAAAAACGGTACTCGGCAATGATTTGTTCGGAAAGGGTGTATAACGATATATATCTTGGTATATTTGATGTAGGATAATACACAATGCGAAACGACACACTTCCCTGCCGATAAATTGAATCGATGTAGGCATCAACGGCGCAGCTATTCCAGTAAAGGTTGTTCAGCTCTATACTCGCTGTATAGAACAGGACATAAGAGGCCAACTTTCCTTCTTGTACAGAAAGGCCTGCATTTCTATATTTTATTTTGAACTGGATCAAAGTCATTATCATAATATGTCATAAAACATCAAACGTATCGAAGAATATTTCATTTAAACCTTTTCCGTAATTCATTACTAGTACCACTGCCCGGGAAACGCGAAGGAGCAATATTCGTGGCCGGGAACTTAGTACCATGCATATCAGTTGTATAATCAGAAAGCCTACATGTAATAGATCGTTTTATTTTCTCCAGAAGAACCCATATCCTTTACAAAGATGTTCCCATGATCATGATGCCATTCCGTAGTCCATGGGTTCTTTGTGCGAGTAGAAATTAATTAATATCCTGCAAGAAAGCGGCCAGCAGAGACAAAGGAAGGAAACTTCTAGCTCTATGATCAAAGGCCTCTAAAAAGTGTGAACGGAGTAGAGAGGTGTTCGCCCATATTTTGTATAGGGTATACGTAGTCAGCTGATCAAAACGGTGGAGAATATTACTATATAATGTGGCAACCACCAACGTCGAGGATTCTTCCTCCTTTTTATATCCTCAGTCAGTCCCATCCTACACACAAAATTTAATTCTCCAAAGTCCTCCCTGCTCCCATAAAATACATACTATGCAATTCCCCGCACTTATTCTGCTCCTTCTCGCCCTCACTACCAGTTCTTCACTTGCCCAACAAAGAACCGCCGCTAGCTATGACATGAAATATGACAACCCCAATCTCCCCACCGATGTAACAGCTTGCAGCGACGGTGTAAACGGCTTGAGTAGGGACTACCCTACTTTGGGATCGTTTCCAAGCTTCCCATTCATTTGTGGTAGCCCCACGATTGGGGGCTGGAATTCATCAAACTGCGGAAAGTGTTATAGACTCAGCTACAAGGGTAGGACGATTATTGTCAAGGCAGTCGATATGGCAGTTGGGAGGTTCGTCTGTAGCAAAGGGGCGCTGGATGAGTTGACGGGTGGGATGGCGATTGCACTAGGGATTGTGCCAGTCGAATATTCACCAATACCAACTGCATGTTAGAGGAGGATTTAGTTGGGAGAGTACAGTGTTTAGTTATTCGAGGGAAGTGGTTTGCCTCCTGGCCGATCATGCATGGACGTAGTTTTTTGAAGTTAGCTGGTTATAAGAACTGAGACAAATGGTTAAAATCACGTTTACTTAACATCGAGTTGACCAGAATTTATCAATTACATTTGCATGGTACTAGCGTTTTTCCGAGTCGGTCTGGGTCATTCTTCGTGAGAGACTTGAGGTACAATGGAGGCAGGTACAGGGCAGATGCTGCTGTGAATTCTGTAAAGGACCTCTTCATAAGTATGCCTGGTAAATAGGTCGAGAGACCCGGAGGAGCCGTAGTATATTTCCACCGTACTCATAAATCAATAACTTGATATACATCTGATTCAATGAGGCGATGGTCATTGTTATACCAACGGTTGACTGCCGTAACGTTTTTTCGTGATTCGTTGGCTACAATCCAGAAAGGGATCAGCAAGAGCGTTTCTCCACTTCAGATGCTACAGGTACCACCTCAATACCATATTTCTCCTATTTTGTACATCGTTGGGAGATACAAGGCTGCCCGCAGAAGGTGGAATGGCCGTTTTTGGTAGATTATCTGCACACAGCCTTGCAATTGGTCAGTACGTCCCTTCTATTCAAGGCTTTAGATATAGCACGAGATTATCACGTATAGAACTCCCTGTCTTCTGAGTACAGGGTGAGGGGTAGATGGAATTCCAGCGAAAAAAAAGCCACCCTTAACAAAATTCTGAGATATAAAGAACAGATACCCAAGCGCAGGGCACCTTATATGTAGCAGTGTCCGTGATATTCCGGGGAATTAAGTATGAATAGGAAAGGATATAATTATTGGACGAGGTACATAGGAATGATCTAGGTAAGAAGTTAGCTCAGGACAAAGCTAGATGCTAGCTGTCATGACATTGCATCAGCATTACAAACCCTAACCCTGGAAACCAAATTTACCACTTGATTTCTAACGGTCTAGAGTGGTAGTTGAAGAATACTGGGTCCTAGACGCACTTTTATTAATTGACCAGCTGACAAGACTTGTTTAACACGCTTGCATACATATATAGGCCAATTAATGAATTAAACAAAAAAAAATATATATAGGGCTGGACCTCGACATGCATATACGAGTGATATATGATGATTCGAAACCTCTCAATACAGAAAGATTACGGTACATCTTTTGGTAGCATATTAACAGTTAAGTCACAGTTTTGACTAGGTCACAGTCAGAGTGTTATTCGGGTCGCATCCATAAAATCAAAGCCTTCTGAACGCACTGATACTAATAATATATATATGATCCTTTTGGCCCAACAATAACATGACAACCATAAACTTTTCTCTAAAGATTCTAAATCGATTATCTTATTTGAACCTTCAAGTCTTTACGATTGAGCTGGCGTTGCTTTATGATTTATTAATCAATCAATCAATCAAGCTAGCCTTACTTCTCCTTCAAATTTCTATGTCCGAGTGATGCTACATGATGCTAGTTAGTTGTTGTTGTTTTCAATTTATCAATCGTATGCAGATGATGCTAGTTAGCATTGCTTTTCTTTGTCTTTGCGATAGATATCTATACTACCAAGAGCCCCCCAGACTCAGAATAAATTCAAACAGTGCGTACTAATGTTGAAATATGTCACCTTGATCATCTCCCTTAGGTTTTCATCTTGAACAGGGACAACTGCGAGAATTAAGTTTCAAGTGTTTAATAGTCACATTGAAAACACCATACTATATTAAGTGCTTAAATACCGTGTCGACCTGACTTCCATCACACTTTATCACTCCACTGCATCGACACATCTCCAACACTCTTACCTACAGAGCATCATTCATACGCCAAAATGCCGTACACCTCGCCCTTCACTCCTGCGTCCAAGGCAGACCCTTCTCCTGCCACTACAAGCCTCGAAGCTCGCCTCAAGAACTACGAAAGTGCTCTCAAGTCCTCTGAGGCCGAGCTTAAGAAGATCGCGCCCCTCCTCGAGCGCAAAATCGACAAGCTCACTGTCATCAACACTGCATACAACCAGACCGGGAGACAGGATATATGGTTGCCAGCTCATACTACTCTTTCAAAGGAGGCTGAGGGGTTGGAACAGCGGAGAGATGAAGTGGAGAGAGATAGGGTGAAATACGCGGCTGCTGTCAGAGCGGTACGATATAATTTAGCGACGGCGAAGGAAAAGGAGGAAGCTAATTATAAGGAGGGGGAAGCGAAGAAAAGCGAGGATAATGAGACCAACAAGGCTGGAGAGGGCGCTAAGAAAGATACAAACCCGAATGAAGATTTGGATGAGGTAATGCAAGATGTGTGAACAATCATGAAGGCGTTGTGTACGTTCTTAAATTATGCGATAGTGGTTTAGCTAGCTCAGATATGATTCCAATAGAAAGTAGCATTAAAATCATTTCTGTGCCAATATATCCTTACTAATGCGTGAATTCTGGTAGAGGCTGGCATTCATGTTCTATTTTACTGTATTAGGATCAAATATGGATACAGGTATCTATCCTATCTATGGATGATCATATTTGAAGAAGCCCCGCAACAGATCCAGATCGAAATAACACACCTTTAATTCTCTTGAATTTCGAAACTCGTAATTCTTTTTAAACACTCTAGATCTCTATCAACTCCACAAGCTCAACCAGTAACCATAATTATGTCTTGAAACAATGAGATCATTTTCCAGGCCTGGAAGAAACGGGCTGTATCATCACTTTCTCTGTAAATACACAAAAATGCATGAGTCACCCGGTCATCTACAAGTACTATCTGGCTTCACTCCCTTTAAGCCTTTCCTTGCAGGGCCTCTAGACTTATTCTATGGCCATTGACGATCACCTGTTAAATGCCACTGCCATAAATAACACAACGCCTACAGAAACCCATTAATACTGGTATTCGTCTTTTACTCAAAGAACAACACAAGATGCTCACTCTGATGTTATTTGTTTTAGTTATCGCATTTCTCGTTCTTCCAGCAACAGGCCAGCTCTGCGCCAACGAATGTATTGCAACTCGGCAAACCGCAGTTGGTCCAGAAGAATGTCGCAAGTCAAACGATTGGGAGTGTGTATGTCATAGCGGCGAGTTTCGGAAGAGCATCGAGTCTTGTCTGGATACATTTTGCATTGAGGGTTGGGGTCCACGTATGTTTGATCCTCTCTCCGGTAGGGGTACGTATGCTAATTATTCTCTCTCCTAGCGGCTTACAATACAGCTACAGTCGATATTTGTACAAAGGATGCTGGGGATAATCTTGAGTTCAACAAAGAGAAGGCAATAATAGCCATAACAGTATCTATGGTTAATGAACCACCACCAAAGCCATCACCACCATCAATATCATCACCAGCATTACCATCATCATCACCATCATCACCACCACAGCCTACTCCTCCTCACCCTCCTCCACCCCCACCGCTGCCGCCACCGCCGCCACCGTCCCCGAAAACTACTACTACCACCACCACCATAACCACGCAGCTCCCATCACTACCGCGACGCCCACCATCTGCTGCTTCTACTACATTATCACACTCTTCAACCACTACTGATATTCCACCACCACGACGCCCCGCATCTCCCTTTTCTACTATTTTACCACAGACCTCTTCAACCATTACTGGTATTGCACCACCACCTTCCTCTCCGCCCTCTGAATCCTCGAGCCCACCACCGGGGTCACAGCCCAATCCATCGAGCCCACCAACGCCGCCACCGCCCAGTCTATCAAGCCTACCACTTCCACAGAGTGACACTGCTAGCTATAGTAATATTATAACACCACCGGCACCCCCTTCCCAATCGTTTCAAGGTATCTTTGCCCCTTCATCCCTTCCCTTGAAAATAACCTCCGATACATCTGCATCCCCTTCCAGAGTATCCGGGCAAGCGCAAACTACAAAGTCCACTCGTGTCACAAAAATATCCATGGTGGTCTTTTTAGTACTTGCTTTATCTGTTCTTGTAACTATAATTTTTATTGTTTCTTAAGCTAAGTCCCGCCTCCGTAGTTTTGAGCACGTCAGATCATATTTCAACTGGTCCTTCCTCAAGCATCGCCTCTACGAAAGAGAAGTCCCAAACTCCGAGCCCAACACGATCCGAATCGCCAGTGGAGACGAATACTCATGATCACGCACTTCCAAGGGTTGGAGTGGAAGTTGATTCTAGCGCCAGAATTATTGGAGTTGCTTGGGGCTACTTAGTCCTTGGTGTTGTTTACTTTTTCCATGGCCAGTAGCATTCCCTCGGTACAACATTACGGGTGCGGTGATTTTAGTGAGGGTGAACTGAACGTCCAAGCAATCTTTCGGTAGATTAGACTCGCAGAAATCTGCATTCTCTACCAGATAGAGCAAAGCTATACATCTCTCCCCTTTGATCATTTTGGTTTCCATAGACCTGTTAGGTAGCGTTGATTGATGTGTGCGCAAGCAACCAAATTCTTTTTTTTTTTAAAAAAAAAAAAAAAGTATAAAAAGATAAAAGAATGTGTACCTAGGATGATTGAGTAATGGGCTGTAGAGGGGCTAAACTCAATCTAGTAAAAGTTTCTAGTATGAGCCTTAGATTGATGGCGTATACCGGGGTTTCCTGACAATATAGTTCATGATCATCGAAGTGTTGACTGAGGTGTTGAGAATTCCGGTAGGCCCATATTTGTAACTAGAAGGAAGTATTTGACTAGCTGTAATGCTTACGCCGGGATAGTTTTTGGGAGTAAGTAACAAGATTTTGCAGAGTTTAGGGTCACGTGTTCTTGATCTCCTCAGTCATTGTGCCCAAAAAGAGGTCGGACCTTACCCTCATGGGAAATCGATATATATCGTTATGGGTATTCGAAGTTTAATTTTCTGTATTACTTGTCATATTCTTGATGACTAAATGTTTTCTTTCTCTTAGCGCCACCAGGCTGGATAAAGAGGAAAACCACTTCTCTTCTTCTTCTTCTTCTTCTTCTATTTATTTCTCATGTTAGACCCTTCGTGTTTCTTTTACTTGTCATCAACTTTCTTCATGAAAGAGATTGTTATGTCCCCGGATACAAACAAGCCATCACGAACAAATACTCTCTTCGAATCCAACTAAGCACTTCTTGCTCAACATCGGCATACGACATCACATATGCATCCCATACCCTGCCGCACGATCTTGAATGATATCGATGATGACCACTATTGCTAAGGCGTTTTTTTTTTTTTTTGCTGCCTCATTCATCTCCTACCTCAATGGATAATTTCTGTCCTCCACTCTTCAGAATTCAATCAAGATACTGGCTTAGATGTACGACCTATGGACTACTGAGTGCTGCTGGGTGAGTGAGAAACCATGCATTTAAGAAACACACCACTCACATTTCTCTGTTATCAACGCACAGAATAGCTGCACTTGCTAGTTGAATCCCAACAGTGCTTCTACTCGTACCAGTTCTCGGCTCATAATTTTTTTCCCCCAGACCGATCGAGAACTGAATCAGGACCAGCACTTTTGGCCGGCAGCTTAGCCACCTGTCACGTCACGTCACAGATCCGATTAGTAAAAAAGCCACCTTACCTAACCGGCACCTCGACTAATAATAGGTTAGATGCTGCGCACGGACTTTCCTGATAGGCTGCTGTCTTGGCGTTGATAACGACTAGCCCTGTCCCTGTCCGTCCCCTGTCACACGCCTGAAAGGGTTTAGAGAAAGCGTCATCGTACCTCCATGGATCCAGCGCGCGCGGTGAAGGGCGAAGTTACATGGAACAAGAAAAAGAAGACAGTAGAAAATTGCGGGGGTTGCTTCAAAATATCAGCTGTGTTCCTGATGTTACAGGAGAAACAGAAGAAAAAAAAGAAATGGTATCTCGTCAAAAAAACAATCGCTATCCACACCACACACAGCTAGCCAGCCAGCTAGCACTCAATATTAGACCTCCGATAAGGTCTAGATTACCGAACGAACCGGAAAGTAAAGAGATAAAACCAAAAACAAAGGAAATCTGAAGAAAATGAATGACTGAAATGAAACAAATTAAAAGGAAATTTCTATGTACAGCACGGGCATAAAACCATCATCCACGGTCTCTTTCTCGGCTTCGGTTTCGGTATTAATTTAGGCGTCGACCACCTTTTTGGTTTCGGTGGAGAGGGTATTGGTGGTTCGCTATATGTTGTATACCTTACAGGCCTCGGCCTCGGCCTCTGTTTCTAAAAGGAACATTTAGTCAACAGCTGGGAAGGGAAAAAAAGTACATGTAATCAAGCGAGGGCTCACAACTTAACAACGAAGTATATCGGCAGGTATGTATACTTACTGGTAGCGGTGGAAGTGGTTTTTCGAGATCACGTTTAACTGCTCGCACCGGCGCCACCAATCGACCCGAAGAGTCCTGAGAGACTTGAGAGACCTCGGAAACATGAGAAATCTCGGAGACCTTCGAAGTTTTTCGCCTCTTGCGTTCGTCCTGGTACACGAACCAGCGCGAAAACACCATATGGATCCGCCTGCTGAATCGATATTCTTGGTGTGTGCTGTATTGTATCTCCTCCGGCGGACAGTGAAAGTACTCGCAACTTTCTTTATTGCTGTGCTTTTGTCGTTTTCTTTTTTGGCGCAGGGAATGTGAAGTGACGGATGGGGAAGGTCAATCTGGAAGGCAGAAAGAATAAAGGCTGAGCTCTCGATCTTTCTTTCTCAGCTCAGGGACGGATGGAAAACAGAACAGAACAGAACAGAATAATCTGCAACGGCGGAGGTGTGGGGGGGTGGAAGCGGAAAGCAGATGATATGTCCATTAAAAATCGCCAAGACACAGCTGAAAAGAAACTACCTTAGGCCGGGGTTCCGATTTGGAGCTGATTTGACATCGGCCCGTTGCCGAGGAAAAAGCAAAATTAAACTAAAATACCTAGCAGCCAGAAGGAAGGGCTTCAAGTGCGGGGAAAGGATTATTAGGGAGCGATGTCGTTCGAGCAATATAAGACGGTCGACTCGTGTGTGAGTGCGTGCGAGCACGGGAGACGAAAAAGTGCATGCATTTGTATGATTCGATGCCCCTGTTTGTGGTGCCTTGAGTTGAGTACCTACATGCCAACCAAGTACTGGCTACCACCTGTTACATAGGCGCGCGGTTTGGGCCAACAGGAGACGGCCCGGCACGAACCGATGAAAATAACGGGACGGCGTGAAACAAAAAAGAAAACCCGAGGGGAAGGGAGAGGCATGGGCATAGGCAACAAGAGATACCGCGAATTCGGAATCACGAATCACCACTAATGCCATATCTATATCAGTCCTTAGTTCGCACCCTCTTCGAATCCACGTGTTGGTTCGCCATGGACCATCTATAAGTATATGTAAGTTACCTCGGACTCGCTTCGTGTTTATCCTTGCTGATTATTTAGGCATGTTAATATTTCTACACATGTAGAGATTAACTTTAATTGTTTTGAACAACGCATGATTGGTGGTGGATATCCCCATCAGGCTGATTTGAAATCATTGGTTAATTGTAAACTTGTAGCAACGCAACGGAAAAAAAAGAAGTGTTGCAGTGGGAGGTACTCGTAAGTTCATAGCGTTTCCGAACACGACCAATATTGCATGACATACAAAAAGGTGGATTTAGCGTTTTTTATATGGTATGCAATAGCAGTCGTGTTCGGAAACGTCATGAATTTACGAGTACAAATAAATGTCTTAGAAGTACGCAGCAGAGCAGCAGAAGTAGAAGCAGTCAATCAGTGACCTCGATGCATGGCATGCACCGCACCTCATCATATTCATCATCATATTCCTCTTTATTCATTTTATTCATGATATGGGGGCCAGTACGATCTACCGACCTGTGACCACCCTCTCTGGAGTGGAGTGTGGCCAAGACTAAGGTATCTCCAGTTCGAACAGTGCTCGAATCTAATCCAGGGACCAGGATACCTATTCTCTATGTATCCGATTCATGTAGGAGTGGGGAGTGAGGGGGGTGGTTAGGCATAGGTACTGTAAGCTACAATACGCAGATTCCAGTCCGTTGCTTGCGTTGCTTGGGGGAATGAGTGCTGCTTACGAGTCGAGTCTACCTGCTCCACAAATTGAGGGGTCGCCCATTGCCAAGGCTGGGCTGAGCGATAGGGCAAGATGTATGTAAGGCATGTTGCTTTTTCGCTCGCATGATAGTCCTACGAACGAGGAGAGAAGGACGCGGAGTGAGGGGAGCCAATGATGGCGCTGCCCCACCTACCTACATACCTGGGAGGAAATCATGACAGGATGCGTAAGTACCGACTTCTTCGATACATGACTAGTACATAGACTAGAAGACTCGTACATGCTTTTGCCGATCGCGTGCCGTTTGATGTGGTGGTAGGGATTCTACTGACCTTACTTACTCTACATATTTTGTCTGGGGGGGTCGCCCCCGGGGGTTTTTTTTTGGGGGGGGGGGGGTCGAGTGCTAGTTTGTGAATGGGTTTACTGATCCGCGCGGTCACGGGGTTGTTCGAGATAGCGACATTAATGTTTATCGATCGTCATACAACAATACAAAACTTTTCTTCTTCTTTTGAAACATTGTTACCACCGTTATGTTTCAGCGAAAAAAAAATACTGTAGATTCCCCCTTTGGAAGTTCGTCCGTTCTTATGTACCCACAGCACTTGTAGATTCGCGATTCACCTGCATTAGTATGTATGTATGTACCCCCCCCCCATCTCTCTTCAAAACTTTTTTTTTGTGTATGAAACCCGCCCCTTCCATAATCTATTTATCGGTACCACCAGCCACCGCTGCACGTCATTCATTGGTGGAAGTCAAGTGAATGAACACTAATCAGGAACAACCCGCCCAAACCGTAATCATCAACATCAACCCCGTCAGCACCTTCACCCGCAAGCTCTACCTCACCTCACCCCAAACAAACAAACTCTACCGTCACGCTCAACATCACCCCGAGATCTAGCTGTCAGATCTGCACGCGCACTTACGTCAAGTTTCAGTATTTTCACTGCGCGCAGTCGGCCTGCGCACCCTGGCTGCGGCTCTTGTGCAGGCCCATCTCACGCGTGACATGTCTGCTATGCGGTGTCAATAAGGGGAGCCGCGCAGCAAACATGGCGCTCAGGAAACTGAAGCTGTGAAAAGAATTTTGGGTCGTGGACGGGAGATTGTGGGTATGGAAGCTTAAGGGGCGTACTGCGTCGGTGAGTACGGCCCGGCGGAGAGGGGGGGGGGGGGCCGGATGGGTGAATTAGGAAAAGCTGGGATCCGGCATCTGGGCTATGAAAGAAGAGGGTAAAGTGCGGCAATAGTTACAGAAACCGTAGTTTGTCTTGTTTCTGCGGAGGCGCGGTTATTTTTAGTACTGTGCGCGCGCCTGCGCTTGAGGAACTTGTAGGTGGGAATCACCGCGGCAACTACCAGAATGCCAGAATGATCCGTGTCTTGGCCAGACTTTAGAGCAGTGGCAGATCTAATAAAAAGCTTTTATAGCGGTATATCAGGACTGCCGGTCGATCTGGCTTCGCCGATCTCGGGATCAAGCTGAGGAGCTCTGGAACACGAGCCAAGACAGGACAGGACTAGCCTTATTCTAATTTAAGCACGAGGGTCAGAGAGTCAAGAGATATCAATTCCGTCACAGTAATGCTGCTGAAAAGAAGATATAAACTGAAGTGAATCATTTCATAGCTAAATGGCGGTGGATGCAGAAAAACAAAACACCTGGAATTAATCGTCAGTGTGCCAAGGCCGAGTGACTGCTGATGAATCGCACACATGCACACATTATCAATCAATTAATCCACACGAACTCCCGGCCAGCCACTGCAGTAATTGTTTTTTTATTTCTTTAGTGTATGTAAATCAGACAATTGACTTACAACTCACACCCATACCCTCGATCGTTTAATTCTTCCAATAGACTCCAACACAAACACACAACCTTTTAGTTCCCCCTGACGTGTACGGTGTGGGCCCAGCGGGAGCAGCAGCTAAGCTTTTAGAGAAAAACGCGGGAGCAATTTACTCTAGAGGCCACGGTGGTGGTATTTTATGTATCTAGACGCGTGGGGCGAGCTAATATTCTGCAGAGGACATGGGTAGCCTAGTCGCGTCGTGGGTTCGGAGGCGCGGTGTGATGATTGTGTCTAAGAAATAGTAAAGATCTTGGTTGTAGGAAGAACACCTTATTGGTAGGAACGAAACTTCCGATCAAGCCATAGACCCTAATCATTATCCGCAACCCCCCACTCCTAGCCGCATCGCGACGAAGGTATAGTTTATGTATGAGGAACGCTAGAAAATGATCGCCTAGCAATGAGGGTTAGCTGGTATGGTGGAAGAAGAGCTGAGCTTTAGGACGTACATACATACTCTCTACTACAAAGCTAGTTTCTCCACTAGAGGGCGGGATAATTCTGGTACCTCCTTCCACTTAACTCACGCTTGCGCGGAGTTTAAGGAAAGATTTTGTGCCTTTACGAGGGTGGAGATAAAAAAATGGCCATCAGGTGTGACTGGCTAGCGTGAAAGCTGGCCCAGTGGAGGGCATAACAAGGCAAAAGTTTGTCTCTGCATGGTAATAGAGCGAGAAAAGTGGGGAAGCGTTGAAGATGGGATGGAGGATTTGTTTAAATGACCGTTTGCTTTCCAAGGATCATCCGCTGGGTATATGTAGAGTACTCTAGTAGTGATGCATGACAACATACACATCCCGGGTTGCTTCGAGAATGGAATGAACAAGGAAGTTGTTATTCTTCTAATACGCTGCACGCCAGCCAGGTACCCCGGTATAAAACCGGGTATGCTGGATAGTGGATATGAAGATTTGTATACGGGTAGCCTACGTGCACCGAAGGTCGAGCGCGGGAGGGTGCGCTTTGGTGTAGGGGTGGGGGGGTGTAGATAGGCCAGAATTAGACATAAAAAGCTTCCGTGGTGGTTCTAGTCTTTATCCAAGTCTGGTAACTAGAGCCCACAGTACCGTATACGGATGCTCGAGACAGTTCAATTCTCTGCAACGATAAGAAACGCGATCTGGCCGTGAGAGAAATCGGGAGTGATGCATACGGGTGACGGTGGCGAGCAAGAAAATTGAGCTCAGTGTTCTTCTCTCGTACGTATACTCCGTTCTTCGTCGTATGAGTACCGTGTTGCACTCCATGCACCCAACCACAAGCTGAACAGGGCTAACCCAAACCCCAGCACGAGAGAGAAAAAGAAAACCAACCCAACAGTAAAAACTGCTTCCAGTTGCTGGCACATTGCCGTACCAGGCGAATATCTGCCGAAGAGCACAAGAGACAATCCCGTGGTTGTACTGAATTGCGTGGTGGAGAGGCCTTTCATTCTCCTCTTATACCTTCGTTGCAAACATCTGGCTTTTCAGCACAGAGACCTGTTCTCTACGTAGATTGTCCACATCGCTTACTTCGCACTGACGGAGGACTGAGCCACGTTCTCAATGGTATTCCTCGTCGATCAGCATCAGGAGCGTCTATTCTGCCAGACTTAAGACAGATGGAGAAATTTAAGAAAGCTTACGCAGTTGTCAGTCAAACCATGATCAAGAAACAGACCTACGTTCTGATTTATATGCGCCCATCTAAACATCTTGTTGGTGCATCACGCAAAAAAAGGTTGGTGCACATATATATCACAATACACCTAACCCTACACCACCAAGGTACGATCCAATAAGCACAACGAACGAAATGCCCCAGCCGTAAATAAATATGTACAAAGCTCGATCGAGCGCCTCATAGGAGAGATAGTTCGATCCCCACGTGCACCTTGTACTTTGAGATCGCGCTCGTATATGTTTGGATCGAGTGGCATAATTGATCAATTAAGCATGCCAAAATAAATTCACTTATATGGTGATTAGTCTGGAGGGCCGCATTGCATATTGCACAAAGGAAGCACAGCAGTGCTCTAGGGCTTGGCGCCAATAACAATCCACTACTTAGTACTCGGGGTTTATAGGTGTAATCATGTAATATCACTCGCACATGGTGTGGCGAGCGTGGACAAGTGTAGTTGTGGCCAACAGACACAGTGGAGGTTGTGACAGAGGACAGGTCACAGGGGTGACGGTATCCTCATTAGCCAGACTTGTCTCTGCTTATTTCCTTCTCACTTTCTTTTCTCTTCTATCATCAACACAATCATTTCGAGCTGTGCTTATCGAGCCTGAGCTTAAGCTTTCTTCTTGCGAGATTCACGTAGGACTAAAATCGATATTGAACTCCTGTTTCGCTCTAAAACGTGCACGCACCACATGTACACCGAATCTTGATGGGTTCGCCGAATATGCTGTCTAAAACTCAAACAGCAACCCATCCGTGAAGCAGAACGTTAGTCATATACTCTGAAGCGGATAAAAGTAATTATGTGCCGCAGGAGCTATTGGATAAAGTGGTTTTCTTACGTGTCATTTCGCCACCATATATCAAGGCTTTCTTTCTGTTAGAATACAGTCATTTTTTACGATACGGACACATGAAGACAATCATCGCTCTTAGTCAATATGGAGAAGAGAAGGCGACCATATCGCTCCCTTTGCTAGATCCTCAACCTCGATAGAAGCTAAATAATGGCCTAGAGCCGGTACCACTCTTCTACTCTACTTATACGGGTTCCACAGCTAATCGAGTTCAAGTCACAGGAGAAAAACACATCATTATCAACGAGCTTTCTATTCCATTACCGCCGTACAACTACTTAGCAACTCTATAAGACATACACTCACACATTTATCCCATGCCACATCACGATAACCTAATCCTACACAACTTTTGCAAACGCGCTTCACCCTCCTAGTAAGGGCTGTTCCACACACTGGCTCCGGCGCCGGGCGAGTATCCACTAGGGGCATAGCTCCCTGGCGAGATCAGTAAACTGTTTGCTCCGCCGCCTCTCATTTGTCCCTAAACGAAGCACCCTCATCAGCCATGACTCACGCAAGAATGTATAAATGGGCAGCAAGCGAACTTACCGATCGAAGCCCACCGATCATTGTACTCAGACCCGACTGTCCACCACCGAGTCCCACACCGCCCAACCCACCGCCGCCACCACCACCTCTACCATACCCCCACTCACCCTCTCCCGACCCGCCATTCCAGTTCTGTTGCTGACCGACTTGTACCATCGGCGGCATCGGGAGATTCGGCAGCTGCTGTCCCCCATGCTGGTGCTGATGCTGCTGCTGTGGTGTATGCTGCTGGCTCTGGTTGCTCTGGTGACTCTGATGACTCTGATGGCTCTGCTGGCTCTGCTGGCTCTGGCTCTGCGCCATCGGCGGCGGCGCCACCCCCACAAAATCGATCCTACCCCCCTTCGTACTGACCGTAGTCAGGAAGTTCTGCAGCTTCCGCAGCGTCTCCATCATCTCGCCCATTGCCTTCTCACCCATCTCGATCTGCTCCTCGCGGGCGCGCTTGAGCGCGGCCGGAAGACGGAGGGCGAGCCCCTGGGAACATGCCTCGGCGGTTGCGGCAGGCGCGGTGACGCCGCTGTTGTGGGCGTGCTCTTCGGCAACTTGGAGGGCGGTGGTGGCTTCGCAGACGCGGATCTGCGGCGCGTTCTGGAAGTCCATGGCGAGCTTGATGAGGCCAACAATCTCGCCGAGGGTTTGCACGGCGTCGACCATGGCTTGTAGGACCTCCTTGGGGATGGCGTAGAATGAGGAGGCGGGGGAGCCGCTGTGTTCTTGGGGAAGGCCGGGGGAGTTGATGTTTGCGCCGGCGTTGTCGTCGAAGAAACGGCGGAAGAGTTGGGGCAAGACACTCGGGGCTGGCAACGATATTAGTAAAGGTTTCTCAGACGGCAAAGAGCTTTGTCTGCGCAAAGGCTCTACCATAGAGAATGGTGGTACTTACGGAATTGGAATATCACGGCATATACACCATCGACAACGACTCGGAACCTACTCCTGAGGCCCTTCACCACCTCCCCAACAACTCTCTCAACACCCTTCTCGTGCTCCTTTCCTCTCTTGACCGCCTCCATCTTGCCTCTCAACTGCCTCTCGCTCTCATCTAGCCAGAACCTTCTTTCCGCATCCGCGGCCCTGATCGTCTCACCCACCGATAAAAGCGGCTGCACCGAAACCTGCAAGTACCTTGCATTACGGTCCGACACAAGAGACTGGAGAACGTGCTCATGCTCCTCCATCGTGATATGAAGCTTATTCAGGAGATCAATAGCTTCCAGGAGGAGATGATATTCGAGCGCCGTACCCTCGGTGGTGCTCTGCCGGGACGACGCAGTAAGAAGCCAGAGCTTGACCTCCTCATACCATTTCCCGCCGAGAACTTCAAGCTGACCCTTAACATCCTTGTATGCAACCTCGACGTACTCGTTCTCAAAGATGTGGTAGATCTCCGTATCAACCTCCATCTTGCGCCTCGCCTCCTCCTGCTCAAACTCGTCTCGCATGCGCTCGATGTCCGCAAACGTGAACCTGCCCGTATTGTACAACTGCGCCGTCTGCGCCTGTGTCCTCTGTCTCCGCTGGTGGCTCTCGCTCTGGAACTGGTGCAGCCGCTGGCTTGTCTGGTTCTCCAGGGCACGTCTTGCTTCGCTGAGATATGTGTCGAGACTAGGGCTGTTCATGGCCGTATCGAGCGCAGCATACGCCATGTGCAGGAACTGGGGAATCTCGGCAGAGCTGGACGGATCGATTCCGTTGCCGTCGCCGTTTGCACCATTGCCCCTGTTGAAGGTGCCAATGATCGCAGACAGCGGCTTTGTATCGATGGCCCGGACCTCGCGGCCGTAGTCGCCGCCAGGCCCCTTGTAGCCGACCGGGAATGGTGTCGCGCCGGGCTGGCCGATTTGCTCGTTGTCGCCGCCCTTGGATTGGGCTTCGCTGACGACTGTGGATGCATCGTCGTCGTATAGTCTTCTTCTGGCACTGGGGTCGATTCGGATTGCCGGGACGCTGGGAACGGGCCTGGGCATCTGCAGTTCCAGGTCGACCTTGGGTGCATTTGCAACTTGGTCGATGGTCGGTGTCGGGCTTGGGGTCTGCTCGGACCTGAGGTCGTAGTTACCGCGGTGTTGTTGGTGCTGGTGATGCTGCTGGTGATGGTGTTGTTGCTGGTACCCGTGCTGCCTGCCGCCAAATGCGTCCATTCCGGCGGTCTTGAGGTCCAAGTTCTCGATCTCCGGCAATCTTGGTGGCGGAGGAAGCGGCTGCATCCCTTCATAGCCCAGACCGCCTTCCTCACGGTCCTCATCGTCACTACTATCACGGTCGAATGGATTCGAGTCTCCGCTGTCCTTCTTCTTGATATTATGGCCAGGCGTCAACCCGACCTGTCTCCCTCTCTCCATCTCCTCAGCCCCGACCCACTCCTTCCACCTCCTCAACCTCTTCTCCCGGATCACCGCAAGTTGGTGTCCGAGATCCCCGGTTCCGGTCAAATGCACATTGTTTGCCTTCTCCGCAACCGCGGCATCGTCGCACAGATACAACGCAAACGTGAGCAGGCTTTGGATATGCTCCGTCGGGAGCTGTGGCAGCAGATCCTGCAGGCCGTGGTACAACACCTCCTCATCAGACCCCACACGGGGAGGCTGGTGATTGCCCATTATCCTCGGCTCTGGCGTCGCGCTCTCGCTCGGATTCGTGCCCTGGTCATCGGTCTCATCATCGTCCATAAAGTTCGGCGGCGAGTGCACCCGCACTCTTCTCGCCTGCTGCTGCAGGTTCTGTGGCGCCATGGTCTGCTGCTGCGACAGTAGCGGCTTCTGGAGGTTCTGCGTAAACGCCTTGAAGGGCCCGCTATCGCCATCGTAGCTGTTCTGCTGATGCTGTGGCGGCGGCGGAGGCCCTGGCGGTGGTCCCTGCGGGATGCTGGGCTGGCTTCCACCGCTCGCAACCCTCTGCTGGCTGTTGTCGAACCACCCAGGCTGCTGCTGCTCCTGCTGCTGGACTGGGCGTGCAACGGCGGCAGTGGTGTCGGCCCACTGGCCTCGCATCACGCTTTCCCTGGTGCTGCCGGTGTTCATACCGTTACCGACGTTCCCGCCACTGTTGCTGTTGGGGCTGGTTGCAGAGCCTGCACTGCCGCCTCCGGAGAGCGGCGAGGTGACATGGTGGTTATGATTGGCACCGGGGAACCGTGGGTTAGGGTTGGACGAGTTTCCTGGAGACATCTGCTGAGACGGTGACGGTTTCGAGTAGAGGTAGTTTCCTAGTCCGACCTCTGCGGGGCTCCGTTGGGAGGCGTTTGACTGCAGAGGCGGTCGCCCGTAGCCTTGCTGGGCCTTGGGAGAGATTCCGCTGGGAGGATGCGGTTGGGACTGCGAATGGGACTGAGACTGCTGAGGTTGAGACTGAGATTGGGATTGAGGTTGGGACTGGGACTGGGACTGCGACTGCGATTGGTTCTGGTTCTGGTTCTGGTTCTGGTTCTGGTTCTGGTTCTGGTTCTGGTTCTGGTTCTGTGACTGAGGTTGGTTCTGAGACTGCGACTGCGACTGCGGCCCAGTCCCAATTGTCTGCTGGGTCGGCGGCCCCGTAGTCGACGAGTACCCCAAGCCCAAGCCCTTCTTCCCCCCCTCTGCTCTCTTCTCGCCCTCGCCCTCGCCGACCTCCTCATCGATCCTCTTCTGCGGCCGATACTCCGTGGGAATCGGATCATCCTCCTCCGCGCTCCCTGGCCGCTCACCCTTCCCCAGCCCACTCCCGACACTTCCCGTCCTCTTTCCGAGCGGAGCTCCTCTCTCGTCAGAGTTCTTCTTCATGTGGCTCCTCCTTCCCAAGAACCCCGTCGGCGTCCCCCCTTCACCCTCCTCCCTTGTGTCCTTCAGCTTCTTCATCAGCCCCAGCCCAATAAGGCCCCGATACCCGCCCTGCTTCAAGAACGATGGACCCATGGCCGGGGAGCCGAACTCGCTCCCAGGCGTGTCAGGCGGCGGCACACTCGGCGCTGGCGGCGGTGCAGGGCCGTCGGGCAGCGGGGTGAGCAGTGGGTGTGGGTGGTGGTAGCTATCTCTGTCACGGTCTCGCTGCTGAGTATTGAGCGGTGGCAGTTCTCTCTGCTGCTGCTCGCGCTCCCAGTCGCGTTCCTGCTGCTCCTGCTGTCTCTTCCTGTCTTTCTCCTGCTCCCGGTGCGGCGATGGCTGTGCAGCCTGCGGCGGGCTGTAGGGGAGGTTCCTCGCCGGCGGTCTGGAGCTGGTGCCGGAGCCGTGCGGGGAGCCGCCAGCGTAGTTGACCGGCGGCGACTGGGCGGGGTTGTGCGGGCTCGATGTCGGGGCATTGTTGCTATATGCTCCGGCTCCTCCTCCTGCGTTCGGGCTCTGCGATGCCCCGAAACTAGGCTTCCGCTCTGCGGACTGTGACTGCGATTGGGACTGCGACTGCGACTGGTTCCCGCCGTACTGCTGCTGCTGCTGCGCCGGACTCGACCCCGCGTGCGGCGGCGTCCCCACATTCCCACTGCTACCGCTGCCACCACCGCCCTGTCCACTCGGCTTGCCATACATATCCCTCGTGCTCAGCGGACTCGTATTCTTGCTCTGCTGCAGCACGCTCGCCGGCAGCGGCGGCGGCTGATACCCCAGCCTCCCCCGCGGCGACGTCGACCCGCTCAGGATCTGCCGCTGCAGGTGCTGCTGGTAGTTGAACGTGCTCTTGATATACTGCGGCGACGCCGGCTGCTGCTGCTGCTGCTGGCGGGTACTGAACGACGCCTGCTGCTGCTGCTGCTGCTCCATGCCGATGCCCCGCTGACTCTCCTGCTCGCGCTCCCACTGCCGGTCACGCTCGCGCTCGCGCTCATGGATCTCGCGGATCTCACGCTCACGCTCCGTCTCTTGTCCCTGTCCTTGTCCCTGGCCGTCACTGTAGTTCCCACTCTGCTGCTGCTGCTGCTGCTGTGGCGGGGTAGGCCGCTGAATAACGCCCGCATCACCACCACCACCACCCTGTCCGCCACTGCCTCTGCTGGCGCTGGGATTCCGCCTGTTTGCGGCGGCCGCGGCGGCACCACGCTCAATCACCGACCCCTCCTGCAAGCTGCGCATGCTCATGTCCGCCGGCGGCTGGTCGGGCCATCCTGCGTGCTGCGCGGGCTGGGCCTCGCGGTGGTTACTGTACAGCGGGGGCTGAGAGGAGTTACTCGTGACGCTGGCGGGCGGGGGGTAGCTCTGGTTGAAGGCCGGTGTCTGGTTGGGTGCTGCCACGGGCGTGGGGGGCATGGGGAAGTGGGTGCTGGTGTGGTGAGTTGGGTAGGGCGGCTGCACGGGGCTCGAGTGTGAGGGCGGGGTGGGCTTGCTGAAGGTGTGGACGGGCGAGTGTGCTTGGTTTTTGTTTTGGTTCTGGTTCTGGGGTTGGGGCTGGGATTGGTGCTTGCTGGGGTCTTGCTGGCTGCTGGTGCTGCCGTAGGAGGTTGTTCGCTGCGCTGCGCCGGGGTGCGAGTAGCCGCCATGGACGGGTGATGATTGAGCCTGCTGGTTACTGCTGCTGCTGCTATTCTGCTGCTGCTGTGGGGGCGGCGGTGGGAGAACAGGCTTTGTGAAGTGGTGGCCCGGGCTCGAATTATTATTTATATCAGGCGGTTGAGTAAACGACAACGACCTTGCAGACGGCGAAGCTGCAGCGGACGACTGCTGCTGCTGCTGCTGGATGGGAACGGGCTGCGAGTATGACTTTACAGGTGAGCTTTCTGGGCTGTCTACATCGATCAGTCGCTCCGAGTGCTGGCTTGGGTTATTATATCGCTGGGCCGGGGACTCGCCGCCTCCCCCGGCTCCGTTGAGGGGGCCTGCGCTCCCGCTGTTATTATTACCGCCGCCTCCTCCGCCGCTGCCGCCTATGCCCTCTACGCGTTCAGCGGTGAGGTTGGGTGTGGTTGGGGCACTTGTGAATTCTTCTTGTGGGTATTGGGGGGTGAAGTCGAAGAATGATGAGCTCGACTGCTGCTGCTGTTGCTGTTGCTGCTGTTGGGACGACATGGTAGGTAGTGGCTAGTGGGCGGGTATAGACTAAAATAACTATATAGTTCACGTGAAAGGTTAGAATCTGGAGATCATTTGTGGTTGTAGGTGGGTAGGTAGGCTATGGGTTTTGGGTAGGTAGGTGGATGGATTATGGAATACAGTAATAGATAGAAAACAAAATAAAAAGGGCTGTTGAATATGATGAGCGAGGACGGAGAATAATAGAAAGGTATTGTTCTGTCAGAGGGCCGGGAAAGCGGGGAAAAATCGCTCACGTACGTATGTTTCGTTACAGAAGCTGCGGGGTGGGGATACTGGTGATTGGCCGGTTATAGGGACAAGTAGATAGTCGATGGTGAAGACAATAATAGGAGGGGATAGATGCGTGATGAACGATGACGAAGAACGGCTAATAACACACGATTTGTCGTCTTCTTCGTAAATATGATGGGGAATAAAAAAGTAAAGTATGTAGTAGTAGGTAGACGTCAAAAAATAAAAACTCGTTATAAAAAAAATGACGAGCAAGTATTATGAAGAATATGTCTCTATGTAGAAATAAAAACACACAAAAAGATATCCTTATCGTCTATGGGTAGATACGTAGAATGGAGGTACTGCTGTGGTACTTAGGTCAGCTGAGATGCCGTTGCCTGTGACGGAAAAGGTTGTTGGATAAACTGCGGCAAAGGCGCTGGGCGTAATAAGCGAGAAGATGGGGGGAAGAGGGAAAGAGCAACAACGACAATAATAACAAAGCCGTTGGGAGATGCGTTGAAGCGTAAAAGTGATCTGGATGGGAAAGAGGTTTCTCGGTAAATAGGTGGGGGAGGGGTCACGGACAGGAGGGGATGTCGTCGATAGCGTGACGAGGATGAGGAAGACGTTGATGATGATGAGGACGGGGATAGTCGCGATGGGGGGGGATGGGATGAGGGATGTGACAGCGTGCGCGTGTGGATGGATATGGAATAGAAGGATAAAAAGGACAACAAACCACGGAGAGATACGTGATTTCGAGATTAAGCTGAGAATAGAGCAAACGGAGAGGAAGGGGAAAACCCACGATAGTCCAGGACGCCTAGGTAATTGTAGGTAGTCAAATAGTAGAGCTATGTACTACCAAGTACTACTGCTACACACTCCTCTACTACTACCACCACCGATACAGCTACTACTAGGAGTATGTAGTGACTGCGCAGAAGCAATAGAATGCTCCACTAAGGATCGTAGGCAGCACGGGCAGCAGTAACGATAGAGAGTGAGCCACGCTCTTCAGCAAGCAAACGACCTCTTTTTGTTCATGCACTTTGATGCCTTGTCAACGGCGGGCGACGGGTAGAAGCGACCACGAGATAGAGGATCAGGATCAGGATCTGTCTCGCAAACGAACAGACAGCACCCTCGAATCGTAAAAGTTCCCGGGTACTTGCAGTCAGTCAGTCCGGTTGGCGTGCTTCTAGAGCAATACCCACGTACAGACAGACAGCCTCAGTCTCAAGAACGAACCCAAACACCCAAACGAGGCTGGAGGGTAAAGTAAAGGGTAGGTATGAAGCTAAGGGGGTGGTAGAAGCAAAGCAAGCAACAACAGAACAACCGGAGGAGCCCACCACAGCGCGCGCGCAAAGGAAAAAAAAAAATATTTCCCACTCACAGCGACAAGCTCCCTCTCCCCTCAAAGGTGTGGGTGGGATGAGTTGGCAGCTCCCTGGTGGGGCGCGCTAATTAATTCCTTCATTGGCTTCCGCAGGGTGCAACCAGGTAGGCCTTGGCACAGCCCTGCAGCAAGAGCCAGTTACCCGGGTGTCTGTGCGCCGGATTCATCGTGATGCTGAACGTCTGGCTGGCTTGTGAAGACGACGAACCATTAAGCGCTGGGATGTCCTTGGCGGAAAACTAGAGTAGAGTTAAATTATCAATAACCACGAATAAAGTAGATGGATAAATAACTCACAAGTAAAGTCTAACACAATCTATGTGCAAAGAGAACCGGTTCAATCAATCGATCGGTCAGATATGTATTCGCGCGCATCACGTGCAACACGTGGTCATTGTGGCGGTGGTGTGTTTATAGCGTGACATTTGAAACAATCACATGCATCTAGTCATTTGCATGCTCTTTCCTGCGGAAGAAAAGATTTTGGTGACAGCAGGAACCCGCGCGTCCTGGCAATAATGGGTGAGTATGAGGCTCAACTGCTAGTGCCAAGAAGCGTCACACCCGAGTGAGAACCTGTGCACCAGCGTCCTGAGGCCTTCACTATTTAAAGCAGGACGACCCCCGATAAACCCAAGATCACTATGAGTGTTAGATGTATTGAAGGTTAGATGGATGGAAAGAGGAACGGGGTGTTATGGTTACTTTATATAGCAAATCCCTCGTAAGTCATGATATCTATCATCTATTGTCACGTTTGATTCGTGTCCTTCGCTCATGTGTCCTCTCGAATGTACTCCATAGTTTCCAGATTTGTCTTTTATCGTACCATCAAACGACGCACATCCACCAGGAGTACACCAATACCCCCAACATATCATTGCAAAGTCGGTCATCGCCGTATATGAAGGCGGCCGGTATCATCAGAGCCTATTGGCCGAGCTTTAGTTGTGAGCTGTATCGCATGGACAAGAAAACTCTCTCTATAAAACATTAGAGGAGAGTGCCAGGTATGAACAATAATCCACAATCAAACTTGGCACTATAGATCATTTTCAATCAGCACTATGTATCAAAACGCTTGCATGGGATTGTACGTACTTTTAATCCTCCTCACCCAGTTATCGTTCCCCGACCCTAAAAAAATCAGTATAGAATTATATCTAGTCACAAGAACTCGACCTTTATCCCCCGGTGGTCGAAACCGAAGTTGACGGCCTATTACCTGTAATGCCCACATACGGAGTGCCACCAACACCAAAGCTCTGCATCACATACAGCCCCTGTATTATACATCGGTATCTCCAAACTCCGTTTCATAAAGCTCAAGCCCACAATTCCACCACGCCACTAGGGCATCCAAGCCTGTCTGTTCCAACCCAGAACACATGCCACATGGTGATCTGCTAGTGCCAAGAATTAGTACTGCACAAACGCTTCCATTCTCCAGGGTAATTGCAGCCTGACAGCCTCGCACTAGCGGAGAATGGAAGGTTATTGGTTGCTGGAAAGGGTTGTGTTTGGCCTGTCATATGTGGATGGCGTTTGTTATGTCGTATGAGGGGCTATACCCATGAGCTTGATGTGCTTGTGCTGCTGGTTATGTAGAACGGCGAAGACGATCGGTCCGAATACGAATTTATCTGTTCATATCCTAGATCCACAGCCCCAGACGATCAGGCTTCCAGTCTTTTCTAGAAGGTGGATGGTCCACTTACATGTATGTAGGACTAACGGTATTCTCTTGCTCACCCAAGATTCCGGGAGAGGGGGAGGTCTTCATTCTAGTCGCGATCAAAACCGAATCATAGAATACAATCACATCCAAAAGCACGATGCTTCAATGTATGAGAATGATGCAATTCATACAGCACGAGCAGATCCAAGATGTCGAGGTTAAGACAGCGGCTAGTCTAGTCCCAGAGCGGGTAAGCAGCTCGCAAAAGCACGGCACACATAACGGCCCGCCGCCAGTCTAATTCCGAATTAAACCCAACGGCCCCAGAATCGAATCGTGGCGCTAGCTAGAAATTAATATATGACATGTAGAGTAGCACAAAGCAAAAAAAAGAATAGGTAGAGCCTCGCTCACTCGCTCACATCACCAATGGCACCTTTGCTCTCCTCCGACTCCAAGCTAGCTAAGCTAGCCCACCACCATCGGAAACCCCGAGAAATCCAACCCTTCACGGCGATCCCGCAGTGCAGTGCATATTGTCCCGGCGAGCGAATCGAAACATGCATAGCCCACCACCAGCCCGTATCGATATCGTGTGTCAAACCCGCCGAATCCCTGCCGGATTGATCATTGGCGACACTGGATCCAATGGCCGTCCAATACAGAGAGCCAAAATCTGCCTTTCTTGAAGTCAATCCATATTCCTGATCAATAATCAGCTTGGTCGCCTTAATACCGCACTGCTACCTGGGGTTTAAAACGGCTGTTTTCCCCCCTCATTTGGGAGAGAGGTCAAGGAGCTAGCTGTGTGCGAAACTCAATCTCTCACTCACAAATATCGTTCAGAAAACCTCGACTTCAAAATGCCGAACAGAATCACGACTAAGAAGGTTAGTTACTCTCTACCTAGAGACAACTTAACTCCCATAAAATTCCCCGACTAACTAGCGATAGGTAGTAGTCGTCGTCAAACCTCGACCCACCGAGAAGAAGACCCCCGTACGCAGGCTCCATCCACCCCATTATATACCTCCTGCCTAGTGCTCAACTTACTGACTTGGGAGTACCATATAGGCACTAGTAGTCCCGAAGAATGGCCCGCGTCCGTCAGTGAGAGTTACAGAGAAGCCAGCACACTTCAGGCCAAATACTGGAAATGGGACCAAGATATGATGCAGGAAGGGCAGACAGTAAGGTGGGATTTGGAATTGTAGTTTTCTATCATGCGAATTCGATCGATCATTGAGGGCTGTGAACTCCGTATATACAGTGCCAAAATTAAAAACCGGGCTGCTTTGGAGGCTCTAATACTGCTGCTTGTGATATAATATCACAATTTTGCCGAAGCCAAAATAGTACCCATTTATTCCGGGCGATTGGCAAGTATGACAGATTCGCGAATAGGTTTGACTAGTTCGTTGGTATTTGTGAATGGACTGCTAGTCTCATATATCTGTGATTGGACCAGTCTATTCTCTAACAGCCCCGGGGAAATTTAAGGTAAATACTCGTAGTTTTTTATTGCATGCCATACAAAAGATAGCCTTGGCGAGTTTTTTCTGTGTATGCAATAGTACATGTAGTTGCGTCCGGAAACGCCAAAAAACTACGAGTACATGTAGTTCATCGCTAATAATTATAACTAACAATGATATAGGTCAACCTCCAGCAACCTTAAGGACCCCCGAACCACATCCATAACTCCCCAAAATCTCCAATAGGGCCCGGGAATTGACAAATAGGATTCAAAACTAAATTTAAAGGGTTTTGGCTACACTGTTTGGACAGAAACTCTCCAAAACATATATAGGGAGTTCAGGAGTTTAAATATGATATTTCCGTCCAAATACTCGAGTTTCTGTCCAAATGCTCGTCAATCGATCGGGATAGTCCCAGATTTATGGGGAGAGGTATTCCCCGATCGCGACCGCCCAAAACACATTGAAGTGAAGATCAGTAAATGTCATACTGCAGTGTGTCGTGGCCTGCATTTAGTTGTTTTTTTTACTCCAGTCCACCTTAGTCTTGTTCCCAGACCCAACCCGGTAATTTCTGCTCTCCTTTGACCACAGTACTGTACATGGAACCACCTTACGAGAGTTATTACTCTACCTATATATGAATATATTTCTTATGCGAATAGAATTCTGACCTTTAAGGTAGCCGCCCCCCCCCCCCCTCTTTTCACCCAGGTTCGTCGTTTGGTTGGCTACAGTTCAATAGAGAGGTCTTATATAAGATATATATGCCAAGGAGTGACTACATATTATATACCAGAGACTATGACATACCAGACAAAGTTCCCAGGCTCGCAAAAATGAATCTGGTTCGCCGAATAATTAGCATTCATAGCGAACTGAACTTAGATAGACAACTTTGTACAGTTTCACCGGCGACCCCTCCGTCTTCGACACTCGGGGCATTTTTATACCGGGGTGGACAACAATAAATTACTACCACACCAAAAGTAGGGGATGGCAACGAGACTAAGTCCACTTTATACGTACATGTAGTTCTTATTTAAAGACTTCAAAACTCGCAGGGCTGTAATATATCATTTAAAAGCGACTGTGAATACTTCATTCCTGAATATCTAGGGTGCAGCGCGGTGGCTTATACTATGATGCCCTCATATTTCAAAAAGTTGATTACTGTAGCGCAGGAGATCTCGAGACTAGATGGGCATACGAATACTCTATGTATTTAACTGTAGCTCCTACTCCAAAAGACCTTTTTACAGCAAGAATGCTGCATACTGGTGAAGAACACATGTATTCCCCTACCAGTGGTAATGTTTCCAACAATATTTATTTCTCCACCGGATCCGCAGAGCTATTCATGATCGATCATCAAACACCAGTAAGGCTACAGTGATCTCTCCGTCCTGGAAACAGCACTTCTTTGGTAATGTACATAACACGACTGGGTCTTTATACCAACAGAATTAAGAGACTGATGTATGTATGATTTGGCTCCAGTCGTATTAGAATCTGAAACGAAAAATCCTGCGCATGTCACCCTGCGCATATATGGTGTAGACCCCACTGCATATTTGAGCCTCGCCCCACCTCTATTTAATGGCCATGTCCCCCCGAGCTCCCATAAATATATTGTGTCGCCAGCTACAAAATACTACATAGTTAACTAGCTATACCCACAAACACAAAATGAACGCCATGGCCATTACTCCCCGTCTCATACTCATATCCGCCAACACCCTCCCATCCTATTTCTGCCCTCGGGCCACCAGTGTTGGTGTTTCTCGTGCCCAAACAAGCATCGGCACTCGTGGGATCGCGTTTGTAATTAAGCGCGAGGTAGCGCATAGGATTGCTGTATGAGTTGTGCACATTCATAGATATAGGATTGTGCTGAATTGAATTGAAACAAAGCCGATAACCCTCCGACATATGTCGCGCGAATCTGTACCGCTGGCAGCCACGAATCGACCCACGTTTTTTATGCCCACACAGGGAGTACACATTCCGAAGATGGAGACATCATCTTACTCAGCACCGATGAAGAAGACGCTCAAAAGGGAAGAGGAGAATAACGGGATTTTTGATAGGATGATGAAGACTTTTTTGGGATGTTTTGTTGGCGGTCGATGACGGCAGGCGCCGGTTGGGGGTTTTCGTAGGTATTTTTATATATAAGACTGTTTATAGACTTGCAATTGTATCCCATGGTAGGATGAAACTTGTCAAACTTGCGACCTCCCTTTTCAAGCTATCACTAGCCTAGTGTGGTAATTGTTGGAAATTCTTGATTGGCTCTATTCCGTAAAAAGCAAGACAATTCCCTTATTAAATGGTGCACGGTCCAGGTCGCAAGTTTGACAACTTTCATCCTACTATGGGATAAGTCAGATATCTTCTTCAAAATTAATCATTACTTTTTCGGTTCCTTGCACCTTAGAGGCGGAAGGCTTGTTTTAGCTTGTGCCCGTAAAAAGCTCAAAATCAGTATAATTAAGCATGCCTTTTTATCTCCGAATAAGGCTCTTTTTAGTATCGAATAGGTTACAAAATGGGTAAGAATTAGAGAAAATAATCAGGTTTGGCGGTTGGTAGGACGGAAGACAAGGCAGTGTGGGTTAGGGTTAGGAACTTAGCAGATATCATGTCCTTCCGATACACCCTCTTCAACCTTCTTCTATCATCAAGCTCCCCACCCTACTAGTATTTTCTCCCTCCCCCCTCGCAATGGAACCTTCAACCACCAAGATTATCATCTGGGTGTCGGCTGGCCAGATAGGAGGACATCTAGGTAAATCCAGCGTCGAATCCAGCCCCAATCCAGCTAATCTAGCAGCTCATCTAGCACCGAGTCCATCATCAAACTTAGCAGCGAATCGACCTCCGAATCCAGCATTGAATATAGCACTGAATACAGCCAATTGAGCGGACTTGGCCGATAGGCAGGTAGCGGGTAGGCGTCAAGGTGGGTAGGCAAACATGTAGGTACAGTCGCTCATGGGGTGAGGACGAACACTGGGTGGATCATGGAGAACTAGGGTTCTGAATATGGCAAGAAACAGCCAAGCTGCCAAAGCGATCTCCCATTGATTCCTATTTGTCCGAAAAGCCTTGTTTAACACCCAGTGTTCGTCCTCACCCCGCGGACGACTGTATCCTTCTAGATGAGGGGCAGGCAGGACGAAGGTGGGATTTGGATATTGAGTGCCTGTGACTTTCTTGGCGGCAGCTCAAGCATTAAAAATCGTATCCAGCCTCAGCTTACGTATGCCCTGTAGTACCGGGCATGTGGTTTTTCCTATCGCTTGTCACACAGTAACCGACTCACACTTCAGCTCCTGTTATGCCCCAGTCGGAAATGCCACCACCCTGCGCATGCTGCCCACATTCCATTCCTCAGACCCCACTGCATATTTAAGCTTCACCCCACCTCCCTTTAAACGCCATATCCCGAGCTCCCAAATGTCTCCCCTGCAGATTACTAGTCAATTAGCTCGACCCCCAAAATGAGTACCATAGCACCCCGCCTCCTCCTCATATCCTCCAACACCCTCCGCTCCCACCTCGGCGGCCGGATCAGCCGGACCCGTACTTCCCGTGATCACGCCAGCTTCCTCGATACGCCCGCCGGCGTCCGCGGGCTCGCGTTTGTCACGAAGCGCGAGGCAGGGCATCGGGCTATTGTATGTGCTACTCTATGCAGACCTAGCAATAGTAAAATCGCGCTGAATTGAATGAAATTGAAAAAAGCCGATAGCCCTCAATAGCATGTCGCGCGCCGCGGTGCCGCTGGCGGCGACACACCGACCATCATTCTTCATACCCGCGCCGGCATTGCCGAAGCTGGAGACGTCACCGCGGTCAGTAGCGGTGAGTGCGATGTTAGGGCCGCGGCCAGCGATAATTCGGGTTGATACGAGTATGGGGGCTGCGAGGCCGGCGGTGCCTGTAGCGCCGATGAAGAGGCCGACGTTTAAAGACGGCAGTGGTAGTGGGAGGAGTGTTGGTGGGATGGGGCGGGTTTTGGGGTGTTTTATCGGCAGTTGATGGTGGTGGGTGCTGGTTGGGCCTGAGGTTTGTATATATATATGGTTTTAGCAGGCAGGCAGGGTGAACGGTGAGATTGTTGGTGTGTAAGCTGGTGGGTTAGCATAGGTGTGTTAATTTTGCATGTAGGATTGGAATGTGCGTGTAACTAGGCCTGTATTTGAGGAGTAGTGGTAGGGTGTGGACACAAAGGGGACCTAAAATGACGAGAGCAGCCTTCGATTCTACAAGACACGATATCTCGAGACCGTTGTGTGGATTCGAAGTGGTGCCATCCATTCCTAAGCAACATCTCAGATTAGTTCAAAATATTTCAATCCAACTTTCCGTTCGGGATAGTTCAATACCCGTAAGCTTCTTTAGTTTTCTATCTTCCGGTAATCAATCGCCGGCAGGCTAGGTTTAGTCGAGATATTTCGTCAACATGAGGTATCTAGTTTCGGTTGGGAGGTCTCCAGACCTAATTCAGAGACATAGTCCTGGCTTGAGCCTGAGAATAAATGAGGCAGGAGAAGACGATCGCGGCAGACGAGATGAGGTCTGAGCCGAATTAGCCTCGTATCCATCGACTCTGTAGAAAGTAGCCTGAAGGGGGATGTATCAGATAGTAGATTTTATTGAATGCGGTATTCTGCGTGGATGTAGAGATAGTGTTGTTGTATCTGAAAAGGAATCGAGTCGATCCTTCAATATATACAAGACGGAAGAAGAACACGTACCTTATGGACAACATGGGGGCTAGTTGTCCACTGCTACAGAGGTAAGCAACAATTCATTGAATTGAGGAAAGGATTGCTTGCAAGCAAAACTGCTTAGAATCGATCGCAAAAGAGGGACTTTTAGGATGCTCTCCTAGAGTGATATCTTGGGGTTGAGACATTCGAATTGCTTGCGTGCGTAGTTAATCATAGAAAATCACTCGATATCGCCTCAGTCGAGAAATGGATTTTGACGTTGTTGGCTGCTATTCACGTCTCGATGAAACAGCAAATAATATCTGAAGCGATGAACCAATGTAATTTCGATGACGATGAACGAGACAGGAGGTGACAGTAATCTAAATTCATAGCCGTTTCTGGACACCTGTTTCCCGCCCGCCTTTCGACTACGTTTCTGCTAGCTACACAGCTTGTCTACAACATCAGGAAGTACATGTGTGTACCTCAGCGCTGTTGTGCCCCTATTGCACATGTGGGCTCCGGTGGTCTCGCTTGGCTAACCCGCTACGTGTGCTTTCTTTACATCCTGAATATCAACACACTTGGTTCTCCTAAATATATGTGGCATCGTCCTACAGAGTTTTCCCAGTTCTATGGAAGCTTTTACCTCCCTTGAATGTCATCTTAATCCCCGCCCTGTGCAGTTCTCCGGCCATTCCAGTAGCGACTTTACCTCTGCCAGTCCCATGTCGCCTTCCGTCTTAAATACGTCTTAACATAAAGCTAGAATACAGAAATCGAGAGCATCCCATGGCCATGTGCCCACAAATCATCGATACACCGCAACTCCTACTCCCGCAGCCTACCACAACACCATCGGCGGCGGGTCCGGATTATAATGTATTCCGATGGTCTTGAACCACCGCGTCTATGATGATAACTATTCAAGTTCTCCTAGCATTCATCTAGATACTCTGATCTCATCAATATTTACGCAACATCAATCTGGTACTAGTCTCGTACCCAGCCCGTTACTTGCAGCAAGCTGCCCACCAGTACGATGGAAGCAGACGGGTTGGGGACGAGCCTACTCTGGTACGCATCTTACGCCATATACATATGGCTACAGGTTTCCTATTTTCCGTCTACCACGTCCCCTAAGCTTACTTACCCCACCTCCGAAGGCCAGTTCCCCCATCATTCATCTCATCTCGCTCTTCAAGCTCCTACCCTGCCGCGTCAGTATTGATTATCTGACGGTTGAATAAGTACACCATGTGGTTGAGAGGAAACGGTGCTGTCAAGCTCGTAGTACTTGGCGGGTATGTGATCATATCTGGTCTCGAGGGTGTTGGTGTCTTTCATGGGGGGGAGGTTGGGTGCTGCCGACATCCTGCCCGCATAAGTTCATGAAAAGACTCTCAGATGTGAGTAATGAAACATTATCCTACTAATCACTAGGTATTACTAATTACAAGTTACTACGCAGAAGGAGATACATCCCGATCTCCGAGTATATAAGAAATGGGTACTGGTAATCACAGATGAAAGGGTGATCCTCAGGTATGCCACCTTTGGCGGAGGTTCCCTGAGTACTTCCCCGCAGAGTCTTCACCGAGAGCTCCGTGTCTTTCTTCCGCCTTTCACCTTCACCTTCTAACAACCCCCTCGAGCCCCTTATATCCCACAGCACCAACATTATCTTCTACGAACAGCAGTCAACCTTCCACGCAGCAGACATACATTTCCTGGTTTCCGGGTGATAGTGCAGTGGTGCTCTATACTCTCCACACCACCCTCACGTCTATCCTTTCGATACTATACCTATCCCGGAACACAATACCTTCGGACCTGTAGAATGGTAGACAGGCCACTCCAAAATATATTTGTCGATGCGGCCAGCTGCTACAGTGGAGATTGTTAGGTTTTTACTAGGCGTAGAATAGCGGTAGTCCCGGGAGTTTCCGGTCGTCCACCATCTTTAGTATCTGCTCTATTAATTAACAAGGTTAGTAGTCACCCCAGGGCTCATGGCAGTGTGACAGTGACGGGTCTGAAGGTGAAGTATCATGGTGTTTATATTCTAGTAGCCCGTGATATGAGGGACAGATGTGAATATTGCGCCAGATGAGATCTCCGTTTGCTATCGTCGGCGGGCTCTCCGCTCTTCTATTGGCGGCGGAGGATCAGTGTAAGATTTAGACGAAAGTCTCTTCACATGGTGTTGGTAGCCATTCAGGTACCACATAACCGCCTCGCTTCACTCGAAGACAAATCAGAACAGAGTTAGGCCCAATGTACACACACAATGTAGTCAGCACCTCCTACCCAGCCCAGTCAAGTATCTGAAACGCTGGTGTTTCCAGATGTAGAGAATCGATACTATAAAACGGAAGCATTGCCTCGCTATCACGTTTCATAGGTTTTTACGAGTGTTGGTTGTTTTGGAAGCAAATGAGCCATTGCCCAAGCAAAAATTGCCGTGACTGGTACTATATGCCAAACACTTCTTCACTCCATTCAAGGCCGGCAACTTGGGGGCCTTCGAACATATATTGGTGGAGGAATGTGGGCAGACTTGGGTTATGGGTGTAGTGGATTCGGGAACGAATACCCAACAAAGATGTAACGTTCCGGGTCCAGACACTATCCAGTCCAATGCCAAGAGCGAGTGATTACTCATGACCGAATAGACCAGCTTCTAATTCGAAATACCTTTATGCGTTCCATTTGTCTCTGGACAGGCAAAGGCAGGAGTGAACACGGTTAAGGTATTATCTGTTTCACCGGGAATTACGAGTGGTAACGACTGTTATATGTTTATTTTTTGCTAAATGCTGGGTATATGTTTAAACGCCCCTGAAAAGGAAAAAAATATGAAAGAATGTGATAAGGAAAAAATGTGCCATAGTATGAGAAAAAAACCGTACCCATAACCAAAGGGAAAGAAACCAACGAGGGTATACCAAAACAAAATAGAAGCCGCAACCAAAGAAAACACCAACGCCAAGACCAGAAATAAACGCGACTCAGACCAGTGAGAAGACCAGCCTATAGAAAAAATACTTTAGCGCCATAGAAAAAGAAAAAAGCTACAAAGACCTTACCGGCTCCCATATCGCGAAGCTCATGCCACCAAACAACTACATCAACCATCCTACTTCTTCAACAAGACATCGTGCGCGGCCTTCACCTTGAGGAACAGCTCCTCCATCTTTTTCTTTTCTCTCTCGTCTTTTCCCACCTGCCTATCCGGATGACACTTCAGCGCCATCTTCTTATACGCCGACCTAATCGCCGCATCATCTGCACCCTCCTGGAGCCCCAGTACAGCCCAGTGCTCAGTCAAGTCCTTTACCGGCGGTACAGCCTCAGCCGCACCATTTGGTGGATACTCATGTCTATGTCTTCCACCGCTTCTGTGGTGCTCCTGGTAGTCCCCGCGAGAAGCAGATGGGCGAGGATAGCTACTCCATTCATAACTCTCACCTTCAGTATATGTATGGAATGACGGCGGCTCATTGTCATACGGAGTGCCGCTGGCATATGGATCGGCATGGAAATGGGTCTGGTAGGCGGTGTGTTGGTAAGTAGTATGCGCATGGGAAAAGTCCTCATGCTGGTACCAGCCACCAGGTGGCCCGTCGGGCGTAGGATGAACGTACTCAAACCGGACACTATAATGCGTCCCCTGCTCGGTACGGTCCTGCGCATGGTCGCGCTTCCGGTGCGCATCTTTGCGTGCACTACTGTCTGTCGTAGGACGGTTGTGATCCCGTTTGCGACTCTCTCTAGCTGCTGGTCTTTCCGTCTCCGCAGCATTCGAGAAATTTCTACTACGGTGCAGAGGGTCTTTACGAGTGTCTCTAGCAGTGGGCTCGGCAGTAGCATCGTCGACATACCAGGCTCCTGGCGGGGAAGGATCAGCATGTCTGGCAGAATCCGATGTGTACCGGCGGCGAGGCGGCGGGGGTGGAGGTATTTCCACGCTCGGGGGTACCCAGTTTAGTGGTGCGGCAGGATCGTCGTCATGTTCCGGTGTCCATACATGCTGTGGCGGGGGTGGTGCTGGAACTTGTTCCGTGAAGAAGTTCATAATCGGTCTGCCCTCTGGAACCCAACCCTGGAATTGGGCATCCTGAGGGAGAGCGTAACCCCGTGGAGCCATATGATCTTCATCCCGACGCCGGGAGGATGAACTGTTATGGCGACGTGGGGCTGTTGCCTCTTCTGGATTGACTGGTGCAGTTTCACGGCGGTGCACTCGTTTAGACCGCCGGTGATGGGTGATGGGTACCTCCTCTTGCTGTGGATATACGACCGGTGCAACCGGGGAGCGGGCCCGGGTTTTTGAAGGAGCCCGGTGTTTTGTGGTGTGCCTCTCCGCCGGGGGAGGCCGAGTTCCAGCACGGATGGCGATTGGGGGAGACTCAGCTCTGAGATCTGAGTGGTGTTGGGTGTATTTTTTGTGGCTGTGCTCTCTTTCCTCCCTACGCCCACGGCTGTCCGACTTTGGTTGAGGTTGGGGTTGGGGCTGTGGTTCCGTGCATGGGCCGCATCCTCGAAGGTCTAACTCAAAATGCAAGCACGCTTTATCTTGGTTTCTAGGCATCTTTTCGCTATTCAGTGGAATCCGGATGCAGTTTTTGTTGGGTTTGGTAATCAAAGTGGACGGTGATGTTGCTGGTAACTGAGGATGGAACTAGAACTTGCAAACAGTGAAGGGGACCTTTTAAAGAGCACAATCGGAAGGTAAAAGTTCACTTTCAAACTTCGTCGTAGCTAACTACTGGCTTTTGTCTTTTCAAGAGTTGCCCAGAACGGCATCCATTTGAATGCTCAACGCCCCCGAAGCCGTCACCAATTAATAGAGGCACCTGATAGGCAGGAGGGAGGTCAGCAGCTCCGTCTATCATGTTGTTTGGAATCTTCTCGCTCGACCCACCAATAGAAAGTAGCTTGGGCACAGAACGACCGAGCGTGCTGGAATCCGGGGGTCCCATGTTCGAGTGACCGGCCATGAACTTGAGTTCGGGAAACGGTATGCTGACAGTTAGAACATATCCACTATCATGTACAAGAAGTACATTCTATTTGATGTCCATCTGACAGAGATGGGTATTGTGAGAGGTGTATGAGCGGTGGTAGTTGGTGTTCGCGAGCTTTGCAGACTGCGCGTTCATTTGCTTCACTATACCAGGAGCCAAGATTCGGAGGACGCGGTCGTTGTTATTACTGTTGTTGTTAATGCCTAGGTATGGGGACGCTGGCCGAATGTTTTGCTTGAACGTGGGAGCATCTCGGACAAGTCACAGGCTTTGTTCTTTAGCAAGGATGTATACCAGCCTTGGTTCTCCCACTTGTCTCTACCACCAATAAAACGCCCATCTCTTTGTCGATCGACTGACTCACCACAAAGCAATTGTGGATCCTATAGAGAAGAACATTCAAGTTGGAAGGATGACCCCTGGAAGGGAGTACGATGTAGGTCTCAACGAGATGAGGATTCATGCTGATAATTGAAAGCCGAGCAGGCCGAGGGAGTCACCACAGCGTCGTGAATCGTGATACAGCTGGTGGGTCGATGTTGTCCGCCAAGGAATTGATGTTGAGATAAGACGAAACACCAGGCTCAACTGTTCAGGCTTCCAGGCGTCTGGTGTAAGACACCGTGTTACCAGAAAGGGGGTATAGGCTATAGCGATAGTGAGATAAGCTTTTACCCACTCTGGCCTCACTCAACCAACGATTCAACCAGCGCGATTCAACGCAGACCTCTCTCCTGTCCCTTAGCACTGATCAATCGCACTGCTTGCTGAAGTCGTGACACAGGAAACTATAGCAATACACAGCTTCTCACGATGTTCTTCACCAAATCCATTAACCGTGAGCGATATTTAATATACCAAGGCTTCCGTATCGGGTTTGAGATCAACCCAATGCATATCAAAACTAATCCTTCCTCGTTCTGCACTTGTCTTCCAGCTGACCAGGACCGCGGCCATTTTTAGCTCATGTGCGAATTCAACTCGCCACCTGAAATCAAAACCTTTGTCTCGTACATCCTTTAACTCAACAAAGAGGTGGGATTTATGAGACATGACGATGCCAAGATGAAGGAAGAGGGTATGCGGTCGGAGATGCGCCTACAACCTGAGTTCCCATGGCCTGTTCTAAGGGCGTACCAGGGCTAGGAGCCGATACAGGCGGGCGTGCCACCAGTAAGAATCTACACAGGATACACCATCGCGGATACTCGGGGTAGGCGGACAATGCGACTTTTTTAGTTGACGCCTAACACGCGCACCCATTGGTGAACAAAAAACATGCAGTGTACCGTACTTTATTCCTGCCCCGAGTAGTCTTGCGCGGGGCGTCTCAGGCGATTGAAACCTGCAACTCAACTGTTTCTCCTTTCTCCCGGTTTTCGGTGTTCCCACTCGTTTATATTTGGGTCTAGCCCTGTTTCTGTTTCTCTCTGATTCTCGGAAGGATGCTGATTCAATTCTCCAATTGCTGCACCTATAATGAAAGTGCCACACACCTAAGTACCGAACGATCTGTCCCACAGCGTCCGCCCCAAAGGGCACCATTTCGTTTCCGTCTGCGGGCGTGCTGCGGATGCGGTTCATACAGTAACAGGACTGCTCAGTTTGGAAGACGCATATATTTGCGAGGGTGGCATTTAATATCCAATTTCATATCACACCGACAGACATATTTCTGAGCCATATCTACTGACCGAAGTTTATATATAGATAGCCGAGACGGAACGTGGTATAGAAGCCCTGCATACTCCACGGAGCCTCATTGAGCCTCATATCATAATCAGTTTCTACCACTTTTGACAACCTCACAAACAAAGGACCATCATCATACACTATATTATCAACTCCCCCGCTTCCACAACCGCTCCCTTCCTAAATACAAAGCCGAACCACCACAGCAATGCTCAAGATAGGCCGCACAACCACTGTTGTACTTCCGCTCACGTTCATGATGCTTTTTCTCCTTTTCCGACGGGACTAAATGCGGTGTTGGCCAGCCTTCCCCGCCTCGAGAAGTGAAGATATGGGAGATGAGGGGGAGGTTGAGATTTGTGTACCGTGTCCCCTCACGAGTGATGAGAATATAGGCGTGGGGCGAAAGGTACCGACGAGGAAGCAGGTGAGGTTGATAATGAAGGGAGCCCCGAGAACATACTTATAAGCTGGCGGACGAAAAGGTGGGTCGGGCGAAATGCCTTGGACGTGCAGAATTCAGCGTATGACTCCAAGTCCCCTAAGTGATGACAAACACATATACGCTTGATTAGAATCAATAAAAACCAACGTCTTCTCTTTCCCGATATCCGAGTGAGCGAGAGTTATTCGCAGATATTGATTATGTCACGGGGGTCCGGGGTAATGATTGATCAAGTAAGAATAGTATTGGTAGTGTGTGCTCCATCCATCACCATGCACCACATATATTAGCCAGTCCCTTCGTCCCGATCCCGTCAATAACAGTAGCAGTAACAGTAATATACATACAACCCCGGCCAGAAAAAGAAGAAACCAGAAGACCCGATATGATTGAAATAAGAAAAGTGATGTAAAAAATGAGAGATGGCAAAAAATAAAAATGAAAAAAAAAGAACCGGACGCCAGCCGAATAATCAACCGAAAAAAAGAGGAGCCGAAAGCTAGAAAGGACCGAACGAAACAGAAACCGAAGCTTGATACGTAGCTGACCATGGAGGTAGTAGAGGCGTTTAGATAAGATAAGGCTCGCGGTGAAGGTGCATGTATCGGATTGCCGGTGGTTCCTGCATTATCGAGCGTGACGATGCATGAGCATCCGGCCGGTCTAATGCAGGGTCCAATAGCTCCCTGAACCACCACCACCCCGCATTTCCCTTCCTCCCGTCGAAAGAGATAACGTATGCCCCAGCCCAACCAGCCAACCACAACCCCCCGAACGTACCCCTTAAACCCAATAATCATTATCGATGCCCAACACAACACCAACCACTTCTTCTTCCCCCATGAGCCCTGCCCGTCTTAACAGTCTCCGCTTTTTTCTCTTCCACCTATCAAACCACCACTCACGTTAGCTTTAAAATTCACCCTCTATGGATTTTTGGGGGGGGGGTGTTTCGAACCTGACGCCTTCTTCCTCCGGATTAATAGCAGCAGCAGGATCAGTACGACGATGAATACGACCAGGGCCGCGAGGATAGTTGCGAGGAGCTTTGTCTGTTCCATTTCGTGTGTGTGTGTGTGTGTTTGTTGTTTGGTTTTGGGGGGGGGTTGTCGTACTAGTATGTAGTAGCTATAGGTATGTAATATAGAGAGCGATAGGGCGTCGAGTGACCAGCTGAGATGACAATAACCAAACCAACTCTCCTCAAAAAAAAAAGTAAAAAAAAGAAAAGAAAAAAAACGAATCAAATAAATGAATGAACGAACGAACGAGCGAGTGTAAAAAAGCGAATGACAGCCTCCCAAAAGGCAGCAGCAGGAGAGAGAGAGGGTATAAAAAAAGGAGGTAGCCTTGTCTATCTAAGTATCTACTGCACTGGCACTGGCACTGGCACTGGCACTGGCAGCTGCTTGCAAACGAGAGTGGAGTACATGTAGGTAGAGGAGTGGCATCCCGGATCGACAGGGGAACCCCAGGCAAATTGCGGAGGAGGATGGTGCGGTCCGCGGTGTGGGCTATGGCGTGGAAGGGGTGTGTTTCAACTAGGTGGTGGTGGGGTTTACTTATTTTTGTATGTGCGTCCATATTGGATATATGTTGCTCTCCAGAGTGGAGGAAAGCTTGTTCCGGTGGGGTTTTACCGGAGGATATTATGAGCTCGTGTCAATCGGTAAAACGTATAACAATGTTATGTTTGTTCTCGCTCGTTGAATCCGGGTACCTGCCTGTAGGTACAGGCGGACATACCCACTGTAGGTACGCTACGTGACATGGAGATCTGGGGCTGTGAGAGAGAGGTTCGAGGGTCTGGGTTAGGGTTCGCACCGCAGGTCAAAGAGCTGTCGTCTGTGCCCTGCCCTGCCCTGTGTCAGTGTTTTGGTTTGTCTCAACCAAACCAAACCAAACCAAACATTCGAGAACGGGGCCTAAGCGAGTTAGAGAAAGAAGTGATCTGATAAGATACCTAAACCTTATCTATTTCTGGGCACAATTCTTTTCTTGGTATGATGTAAACATGCAGACGGTCGCATGTCCGGAGCCCCTGCTGAAACAGCCCTTGAAGATCTAGAGTGCTGATCTCGTGTTCTGGTAATTAGAGATGGCTCCCTATGAAGCTCGGTGCAGCAGAGGTGTTTGTGTTGACGGCATCGGAAGGGGAAGGGGAAGGGGAAGCTAGCAGAATACGGAGGCTTGAAGGTTGTGTAGTTACCGGCTTGTCAATGATCTGCTTCACCGACTCACCGACAAATGAATATCGATCTAATCAGAAATCCTACCGATGAAGACCAATTTCAACGGACCAAAACCGTGAATCTTACCTTAACCCCCTAATGGGCCCCTGGCGGGACGGCACAGCCATTTGGCCCTAGAAAGACAGCACAATATGGAGGCATTGAGCATTCAGAATCTCCAAAGTTCTCATTGATACTCTAAATGCAGTGAGGATATATGCCTCGTAGTAGGCGGTAACTATTGCGCAACCTCGTACTCATCCTCAGCTAGATATTTTCCTAGTATCAATATCAGTTTAGTTTCTGCTTTAGTCCCATAGATTTATAGTCAAGAGCCTCATTTAATTCACCAAAGATCACTCATCTTCGCGATATTTATACACCATACTATTCCCAACGCATATTCCTGCAGAACTAGTCATTCCTTGGTATGCCTTATCCAGATATGCCGGGGATCTACTGTATCCACACAGGCCAGATAAAGTAGTGATAATGTCTTTCGAATTCCGGGATGTCTATCTTCCATCCAATATTCCGCGTAGGAAGCACACTACAGCCAGTTCAGCCCTACAGGATCCTCCCGTACATAGACATCTCGAAGGCACGTGTGTGTATATGTACCTGTAAGCTAGTACCCCCAAGATGATACACAAAACCATTGGGCTGGAAGAGACAGAAGGGATAGGCTGGGCGTGCATTTACAGACCTGACGGCTGTCACTGCGCATGCGACTGGCCAGCGTTGTTGATCGTGATACTAGCTAGCCCCTTAGATCTAGACGTTGCAATCCCGATATTGCTACTATCCCACGTGCCCGGATCCATATGACGCAAGTTACTAGCACAGGCCGTGGCCACTTACATATATGGTTTCCATGCAATCTGTTATGAGCTTAGTCCAGCGAGCATTTCCCGGCGTGCATCTCGACCTCTTTCGTGAAATCATCCTTCCAGATTTCACATGAGCCTCATGAGATCAGCTACAATGCATAGAGGTCTGGCTATAATTCTTTGGGTGCTAAAGAACATCGCTCCTTGATATCGCGCTTTTTGTGCCTTAGTGAACATTTCTTTTCAGTTGTGGCATTTCTAAATATACGCCCCCTTATAGGCTTCTCCCCCGAGGGGAGGCCTTGTTCCATTGACTACATAAACAGGAATCCGATAAGAATCAAAAGACTTCGGCCCGACGGAGAGCTAATCTAGTGTAATGCTTGTTCTAGTCCTACATAATGGGGCTACAAACTTGGGGGTTGTGATAGTTGGTCTACCGGAGATCGCTTATCATTGGTTAAGACTTCTTATTGAATTCCTGTCAATTTGTGTCCCAACCGCAACTCAAAGTAATTGAACGTTCGTTTCTAATAACCATATCAGCTTAATGTCACTTTTGCCTTGAAATAGCTAGTAGCACTTCAAAAGAAAAGCTTAATACCTGGTCGTAATAGGCTTTTTTCATTATCAGTTACTCCAACTCTCAACACTCCCTTTCCGACAAAAAAAAAGCAACCATACATTTCTAGATGTATCGTCCCCCATAGCCATCCTCAAACTCATAGCGTGCAATCGCTTCCGCAATCCCGGCAATCTCTCTCTTCCGCTGAATCTCCGCCTTCTGCAGCTCCACCGCCTTCTGCTCCTCCGTCTTCGGTGCCTCTGGTCGCTTCCTCACCTCCGGACGCCCCCCTGCTGTCGTCGGCTTCTCACGCGCCGCCTTCTCACGCGCGGCCTTCTCACGCGCCTTCTTCAGGAAGGCCTCCACGGTGGCCACGTTCTTCTTAAGCGCCTCCAGTCGCATCAGATGGACCTTGATCTCGCTCTCGCCCGCGACGAGCTCCCTCGCTAATCGC